ATTAGGAAACTATTATACAAATTACTAAAATTAATAAATCTTCATTAAGCATACAGTATGTTTTAGATACATTAAAAGCCTTTGACTCTTTCAAAGTACAGTTTTTAAAACAAGTATTAATTAAATTTAAATTTAGTTCTAGCATCTGTAAGATAAGTTATCTATTAAAATCTAGATAAGACTGAACTGTTATGATTTAAATCCAAGCAGTACTAAGCAGGATTGTTTTTTATCACTTTTATTATTCAACTTAACTAGAAGCACTGGCAATAGCTCTTAGATTCAGTAATCAGATCAATGGTATAAAATAGGAGATAAGGCATATCTTTTAAATCTGCTTGCAGATTTAAATTTTATTCAGCTAGTTATATTAAGAAATTAGAGGAATTTGCAGAGGTATCAGGACTACTATTAATTTTCATGAATCACATTTATTGTTTTCCCAATATATCCCAAAATATTCAAATGGAAATTTGCAGTTTTAGAATTCCAATAGCATATACATCTTTAAAATACGTTAATAACCAAAATATTATTAAAATATTTACAAATAACTATGTACCAACTTAGAAGAAACTACATAATGAAAACCTGGAATCGGAGACAGGGACCACAATTTTATTAAACTTAATGGATTTTACAGTTTATTGCAATAGCAATAGATTATAATCTGGTATATACCAAACTTTCATATGTATAATACCTGTTTTTTTATTTATACTGAAATAACATCTCTTTGGTACTCACCATGTGTTTTTTGTTTGTTTGTTTGTTTTTTTGTATCTTCATGTAAATGTAACTATCTGATTTTGTCGGCTAAAACTAGTAACAAAAATATTTTTTAAAAAAATCTCCAGTTCTCACAAAGATAAAATGAGGGTGGGAAAAGCTCATTCAGACTTCAAAGATCCTGTTACTATAACATAATAGAGTGGTTCCCAATCTTTTCTATACTCTGTACCCTTAGAACACTTCTGATATATTCTCACACCTCTTACAAAAGTTTGAAACGAATTATGCATATACACTATAATTTTGAAACTTCTAAACCCAAGTTTTTCCCCCCCCCTGATATATCGTCTTGCACCCGCGGTTGGGAACCCGTTATAATAAATGAAGCATTGACATGCATGGCTTTGGGTTCATTGTGTGATCCACCTTGAATGGTTGACAGGTGAGAACTGCTGGAGTTGATAATGTGATATTGTGCAGTATAATCCCTTGATTACATATTATTAAAAGTTGAAAAAGGTTCTATGATTTCAGATCATATTATCTGAAAAACTACATTTTCTTATTTGATATACTAGAGCTGGGTTGCAGTTCTTCAGATGGGTTTTCTCCTGCAGACATCTAAGTTAAAATGCTATCCATACCCTTGAGTTACATAAAAGTATGCTGATATAAATTGGTGGCCCTATTGCCAATCCCTATCTTGCCACAATAATGAAGGCAATAAATGACATTTGTCAGATATTTGAGGTCAGCAAGGTCAAAAAACAGGCACAGCTGGGATTCTAGGAATGCTGTTTATTGTTGTAAGATTGTAAACTTACCATCTTGACAAGCTACTCCATCTTCTACCAAAAAAAAGAAAGAAAGAAAGTGAGGATATTTTGAGGGGTTTTTTTTCCTTATGCTTTCTTCTTTCTCAGGATTCAGTAATATTTTCTGAAAATCCCCTTTAACAGCTTGCTCATTCATTTCCCTTTCTTTTACAGTAGTGCCCTTATATATTGTGGTCCAAGTTAAAGATTTGAGAATTCCTTTGACTTTGCTTTCCCTCCCACAAAACATTACCTGCCTGCCACTAGAAAAAAATATGGTGGACTTAGGCACTTGTCATGTTTGTTTGTTCAGCTTAAGACACCATGTAACTCCATAAGACTCTGTATGACTTACATCATTAAAAACAAAAAATACAACAAAAACACAGACTAGGCATGTTTTCATTTAACAGTGAGCAGGTGCTTAGAAAAACAGTTGAAACAAGGAAGATCTCTCCTAACATCCTGTTCTTTCTATGCCCATGACCTGTCAGTTGGATTAGTTTTGCACATGGTACTAGCCCTCTTTGACATCCCAGCTGATGGTTAGAAGGTGCTGGTTCAGGATGGGCTTCAATAGAAGGGATGGTCATTAATGTGACTCAGATCATACCCTACACAAACTCTACCAGGAGCTGCAAGGGGCAAAACTCTAAACCAGGGATGTCAAACTCACCACGTCACATGACGTGTCGTGACATATCACGACTTTTTTCCATTGCCGGAGCTGGGGTGGGAGCAATTTCGGCATGACACATCCAGCCTGCGGGCCAGCAGTTTGACACCTCTGCTCTAAACCATATAGGGAATACAACAGGAACATGTTTTTGCAAAGCCCAGATGTTTGTAGAAAAACAGTATTTCTAACCTGCTGTTTGGCCTCCCTTAGTCCTCACAATTTCCACATAAGATATCAGATCAGAACCTTCATAGCATATCAAGCCTACAGTTGACTGAATTTATCCATCACATCTTGTGGGTAGGGATGCAATGGAGGAATTAACTCAAATTTAGAAGTCATCAGTTGCTTAGATATACAGGTATTGACAAAAACGAAAATACTTTATAAAGAAACAGGATTTAGATATATATATATAAGACTGTTATAAAAATAAAAAACAGGAGAAGTCATCTTATACAAATTCCTCTTGAAATGAGGAAAGTATAGCTGACTGTGTTCAGCAGGTCAGCGGTTCAAATCTCAACTGCTCAAGGTTGACTCAGTCTTCCATCCTTCCGGGGTAGGTAAAATGAGGACCCAGATTGTTGGGGGCAATGTAAATATATATATACATTGCTTACTGGTGTACACCGCTTAGAGAGTGCTTGCACTTAAAGCGGTATATAAGTCTCATAAATAAATATTTAGGAATGTGGCAGCTAATGCGTGAAGCATTATTAAGACTGGCTTAATATAATTTGGAAATACTGTGTGTCATTTAGTCATATAGTTTAAAATTTGGCTGTCAAATATTTAAACTCTTTATTAACTTGAATTAGCTTTATTTTAATAAGTTTTTAGTATGAGCAATATTTATTGTTCTGCAATTTAAGATAGAATGGAACAGCAGATACTTTTCATATAACAATACTTTTATTTATTTATGAGCACGCCAGCAAATGAAACTGTCTCTAATCTACCTTCATCCTCAGACAATGGACTCTGTCCCTCTAATTTTTATTGAAGTTTCTTTTGGCTAAGATAAAAACTGGAGAAAAATAAAAAAATATAGAAAGGAAAAGCAATTTAAAAATATATAAAAGACAAAATAAAATGTTTAGATATTAACAGAGGGATAGAATCAAGATCATGTGAAGTGTTGTCACTTTATAATGCCTTGGTAAGACCATACTTGGAATACTGCATCGAGCTTTGGTCGCCACAATGTAAAAAAAGAAGTTGAGACTCTACAAAGGATGCAGAGAAGAACAACGAAGATGATTAGGGGACTGAAGGCTAAAACATATAAGGAACGGTTGCTGGAATTGGGTATGTCTACTTTAATGAAAAGAAGGACGAGGATTGACACAATAGCAGTGTTCCAATATATAAGGGATTGCCACAAACCATCTGAAGGCAGGACAAGAAGCAATGGATGAAAACTAAACAAGGAAAAAGGCAACCTAGAATTAAGGAGAAATTTCCTGACAGAACAATTAATCAGTGGAACAACCTGCCTTCAGAAGTTGTGAATGCTCCAACACTGGAAATTTTTAGAAGAGATTGGACTGAAATGGTGAAGTGATTTGTCTGAAATGGTATAGAGTTTCCTATAGGGGTTGGACTAGAACAGGGCTTTTCAACCAGTGGTACAGGTACCACCTGTGGTACATTGGCACCTGGCAGGTGGTATGCGACCATCCTAGAAAAGTGGGAGCAGGGGAGGGGAATGAGCTGAACCAGTGGCAGCACCCCACAAGCCTGAGCGAGAGATGGCTGGAGCTGCAGGGCTGTCAGGGCTGAGCGGAAGCACCAGGATCAGCGCCAGGCTCCAGCTGGAGCTCGGCGCTGATCCTGGCGCTTCTGCTGAGCCCAGAAGAAGCGCCGATCAGCTGGAATGTTGAAACATCTTCAGGGTCTTGTGATTTACATTCAGATTCTTGGCAACTGATTCATATTTATGATGATCACAGTGTCCCAAGGTCATGTGAAGTGACCAAAACCTGCTGCAACCACCCAGCAGGCAGAGGGAATAAAAACAAACACCCCCACCCCACCCCCACTGCCAATCCTCAACAGAAATGCTCACAACAATGAAAACCTCATACAGGAAGAAGGGCACAGCCGGTCGGGCAGGCAGGTGTCTTGTCTGGCTGTGGTTTGGGAGGCACTTTTTTCAGTGTCATTGCATAACTTTGAACAGTCACTAAGTGAACTGTTGTAAGTCGAGGACTACCTGTACTTTATCACTTTTTTCCTTTGGGGGGGGGTCATCAAGTTTTTGACACCTTGCTAGGCAACTGGTGGTACTCAGATGTTGCCATATCCTAAAAGTGGTACAATGGGTGAAAAAGTTGAAAAGCCCTGGACTAGAAGACCTCCAAGATTCCTTCCAACTCTGTTATTCTGTTCAAAAATAAGAAAAAGAGAAATATTTAAAGAAATGATTTTTAGTAAATATAATTAATATTGTTTCTGCCCCAACATAACCTTCTTTCCATGTAGAACCCTTTTTAATTAGTAGTTTAAAAAATATAATGGATAGATTTTCTTTTCTCGACATACAAAATATAATGTTGATTAGTAATCAAATCATCATAATACCTATTTCAGCATGAATTTATTTTTAAGAGCAACACATATCTATTTCCCTTAGGAGTATTAATGTTATAAAAGAAATATCTATATTAACTGGTAGAGCTGAAGGTAATCCCACTTCTATTTTTGCTTAAACTAAATCTATAGTGATCTTAAGATGCTTACAGTTGTTACATGTGTTGGAGTTCCTTTTATTCCAGTTAAACGTGAGCCACTGCAGTGAGGGAAAGTGTTTGTGGAAAAAAATTAAGAAAGAAGGATAGATTAATTGCCTCCAAATGGGTGCTAATGAATCAATGGAGGAAATGATTGCTATGGAAAATTACCAATGGTATGCAAAATTCATGAAAGAATGCCCATCTGGACAACTTACCATGTATGAATGCAAGAAGATCCTTGGTCTTGAAAATTCAACTACTCTGGCAAATAATTATGTTGAAAAAGTATTCAATATTTTTGATACAAATAAGGTAAGAGTTATATCTATAGTGCATAGTTTTAGGCAATTGTGTGCTGTTTTTCATTTATTGTATACAGAACATTTTAGAATCTTAAGTCTGACATATTTGATTTACAATTCCTTCCAGATTGATTCTGCAAGATATAAATGTAGCTAGAAGAATATATGCCTGTTTAACAGGGTTTTAATTTATCAGTGCTTAAAAAATATATTTTACAGCTGATAGTTATCCTGATATCTCATACATTGTGTTCTTGGAAAAAATTACCATTCCCAGAATATGCTAACAGTTTATATTAATATATGCAGAACAGGATATCTAAGGGAAAAAGCCAAAAAGGGGAAACAACCTTCCAAGCTGGTAGAATTTCATAAATGATTATCAGTGTTTTTTTTCAAATACTCGTGTTAACTGGATTTTCTGATTCGATTATTTTTTAAAGAAAAATGAATAAATAAAATAATTAAAAGATTACTTTCAACAAAGGCCTATCTACTTTCATCTGTTGCTTTATACATTTGTCAGATAGCTGTGAGATGCACAGAATTAAGCGATTGCCATCTTTAACTACAGTTGCCAGCTCTATGCCTTCAATTTTAGAGGTTGTAGAGAGCTATTAACTATTAAAATCAATCAATATGCTTCATTATTAATCTTCATGAATTTGTCACATGATTCTTTGACATTTTGGAGCCCACCATACATATCATATCATACTTGTAGAGTAGGTCCTTTGGTCACTTTGCCCAGTTGTTGTAATATTTCATTCCTACAATTTTATTTATCTTTTTCTAATTCTATCCAATTACTACTGTACAATATTCTTTCTGAAATACAATAAGAACTGTACATAATATTCCAAATGTAGTTGCATCATATCTACTCACTTGTTTTATATTTGCTTGCTTTTCTAATGATACACACTTTAAAAAACAATTTTGTTTATTTACAATTTATTTGTGACAGTTTCTTTCATCATACATAATGTATTCATAAAACTTTTTTAATTGTCTTCCTGGAAAAAAACTAGGCATATTAAATATGTATGAATTATTGATTGACTTGTACTTTGGGGATTATTGACTTAATGTCAGCCTTTTGGCTAAAGTCAAGTGTAATCTTAGCTCAGACAAATTACAAGATACTAATGCCAACCATTATTATCTGAAGATACAATCTGCCATAAAACATAAGTTTAAGAATATAAGGTAGACTTATGAGCAATATTTCCACAGGCCCAGTAACTATACTGCTTTCACCGAGACTTATAGTATACTTGATTTACACATTATTTTTTTTTGGTTTGGAAAATGTGACAATAGAATATTAGAAATTGATCTTAGCAGATAGTACTTTGTAATGAGAAGACCTTAAAGAAAAGCAGAACTTCAGCAGAAAAATTAATATCACTAATCCTTTATGAAGTTTCAAAATAATGTGATTCATGTGAACCACAGTTAGCTCTCATTGCTTTTTCTTAGCATTGAAACAGTTGCAGAGATCCGGGAAAGAGAGTTTTGGTTAGGCACAGAGTTATAAAACTGGAGAAAACATTTTATACTGTTTACTCTTAAACTGTTGAGGTTGGGTCTTCTTTTCTTGATATGAAGGCTCCACTCATCTAACCATAAAGCCAAACTATATGTATCATGTCCTGGAATGTGATAAAAAACAGAAGCAAAATCAGTATATATTCAGGATTACTTCTTATGCAGCACGTGATTTCAAATTTAGTTTATTTATTTATTTTATTCATTTTTTGTTTTTATTTATTATTTTTTATGCAGCCCATCTCCCATATAAGGCAACTCTGGGAGGCTTTAAATCATCATCACTGTCATTTTTAAAAAATATTTCCATAGATTGTCTATTCACTCACTGGCTGGCACCAATGAGATTGTCTACCCCTGAACTCACATAATTTTATTGCTTATTCATATGCATAGATTTACAAAAGATGCACACAAACACACACAAATACACACAGCATGTGTTTTTATTGTAACATTCCTCATGCTACACCCTCTTGCAAATAGTGAGCTCCAATGTAGAACTGTCTGTTCTAGAATTCTAGAAACTATAATTCTTAAAAATTGACGAGTACAAGTCTGGGGATTACAGTCCTAGTTCCTAGGGTTCCATTGCCATCCAGCTAACACTGTTTAGGACGGTATCCTCAGATTTTATTTGGCCTACGCTAACGTACTATATTACACTGCTGCATTTGAGCAGGAGACTAAAATTAATTTAATGTGAAAATTTCTCAGACTTCTCTTTCTGTAGCTTATGTTTTCAATGAATAATATTTGATGTTTGTCTTGATCTAAGATGAACTTGGCTGGGGCAACTTTAGTGATTTCTAATTTTGGCCTGTTTGGATAAAGTATATTTTAAACTGATTATAATTTCTAATACACACAGTGAAAAAGTTTCATGTGTACAATTATTAACAATAACGTTTAATTGTCCTATTGAAGGCCTGATTGTACTTGCTACTTATGATTCGATTGCCTGTAGACATGGACTGTTTTGCAAGTATAGTGAAATATGGGACTCATTTATGCACAGTATAAGTGGAAAAAAAATAGTTGCATAAATGTTTTAGAAATACAGTATATACGTACTAGATTTATATTTGCATTAAATAAGTATATATAGAATTATATCATAGTTTTTTCTTTGTTGTATTTTTAAAAATCTGTTTAATTAAAGCACTATTTATATGTTCTTTGACAACATTTATCTGTCATATTTGTTTTTCTCTTTTCATTTCTATTTTTTGATATTAATTAAAACAACAATAAATAAATATTTAATAGTCCTCATATATAGGTACTACCCATTTAACAATCATAATTGGAGCTGGCAATTCTATCGCTAAATGATATGGTTAAGTAAGACAATACATGTTCGCAACTTGCAATTTCACTGCCTATTGACTCTATTGACTCTACTTGTTGAAAGCCAGCTGTCATGCTCACAAATTATGATCACCTGACTAAGGAACACTAAGATAATTGAAAGTATGAGGATCACTCCTAAGGTTACATTTTTAGTGCTGTCATAATTTTGAATGGTTACTAAATTTAGAAGTTGTTAAGTGAAGACTATATGTATTAAAAAGTGCCATCTGTTGAGACCTATGTTCCTTTTAAGGTGTGCTTGTATGAGCATGCAGAGTACTCATAAAACCTGTGCACAAATAAAGTCAAACACTCACGAAATTAAGTTTAAGTAATAATAAACAATTCAGTCATCATAAACTCTGGACTCACAGTCCCAGGGAGTTCTGCAAAAGTTCACCACCTCTGCTTAACTGCAGTAGATAAGGTGATTGGCACTGTCTTGGCATGGACTGAGCAGGACTGAATGAAGTCTTGAGAATATAACAGAGAGGTGGAGGGGAGCAAATGTGTGTACTATAATGTTATCATGCAAATACCATATATTTTGTGTCAGACATTGAGATAAATATATAACTGTGACATTTGTATAATATACCAACACACTCAAATCATCATTTTGGTGTTAGGGCAGTTTGCTGAAAATGCTGCTGATTAATGTCATTCTGGGAAAGACAGCTTTAACAGCTATGCATTCAACATTCCAATTGACTTGATGCATGCCGTAATGGGAAAATGATCTTTTCCTGCCCCAGAAAGTGATCTTTGGGTGGGGTGGGAAATAGTAAGCAAGCAGTCTAAGGATTTGATTCTGAGTTTATACCTTTACCATAGAGATAGGTAATTTGTGGTTCTGGCTGTCATATAGCAGAAAAGCTAGCCATGCATATGGGCCAGTCACTCTCTGTCAGACTAACCCATTCATAGGATTGTTGTTGTGAGGTAGATAGGAGGAAGAAGGTGTATTATATATGTTTACTGCTTTAAGTCACTTATAAAAATAATAAAGGTGGGGTAAAAATTAGCTCTCTATATTTCTAAAATAAATCCATCTATCTGTCTGTCTGTCTGTCCATCCGTCCATCTATCATCTATCTATCCATTTAATATAATTGTGCCCACTTTTCTTCCATATCTGTACCGAAAAGAACCGCCAGACTTTAGCAAAACTTGAGTTAATTTGCACATATTTAATACATCTATTTTTTGCAATTTACATCTTGCTGGAGCTACCTTATAATCCGTAATGGCCTGGATCCCTTGCCACATTCGCCTGGTGTTTGTTGAGTCCTGAAAAACGTTCTGAATTTTTTGACAATGGGCTTGCTTTGCACCTTTTATGGCACTTTTCAGATTTGCTTTGGCTGTTCTAAGTGCCAGCATGTCACCAGATTTGAAAGCCACATTCCATGCTTTCAACATCTTGCAGACCTCATAAATCAGCCACGGTTTTTCATTCACTCTCACAACAATGCTTTTCAGGAACAGAATATTTGCAATTTTGCAGACGTTGCTAGATGTCAGCTCCCAGCAGCTGTGTAGCAGTCCAGTGGTATTTATGGACTCATCTACTCTGCAATATTATTCTTATAATTTCTTAGAATTCAAAGAAATTCACAAAAAATGGTAAAAATGCTCTTTCAAAAAAATGATTTGATAAAAAAAATCAACAAATATTAAACTGTAAATAGTTAAATTCCATAATGGGAGGCACAAATTGTATCCTTTCCCATGCATGTCAGAATAGTTTATATGTTTCCATACTATTAAAACATGATTATTTTATTCTGATTAAACTATACATCATATCCACTTTTGAGTATGCGCCTTTTCTGTCTCATGCACATAGCTTGCATAAAGGCAGCTGTTTGTCCAGCCATACTTACATACTCTGACATTTTCTTTGCAAGTTGTTGACAAATTTGCTTTGGACTTATCATCATTCAGAGTTCAACAATTTCAATTGTGTCACAATTGTATCCCTGTCATGGTTCCAATAAATGAAGTCAGTCAAAAGAACTTCAAGGAGAAAAATTCATCCCCGAGAACATTTTATTTGGAAACAAGATATCAGCACTTACATAGTTGAACCCAAAACTGAAAGTTCCCTCCCCTGATACAAAGTTACAAGTTGTAATTCCCACCCCAAACCAAGCTGTCACACATTCCCCAATAACAAATAAGTGCGGGCTTTTCTCCACCACCCTACCACCAATATTTTTTGCTCACAACGACCTTAATTAAAAATGCAGCTGCAATTGTTATGACTAAGAACGCTCATACCTCTCCCTCCCCCCTTATTCTATCTACATGAAAAATCCCCAGCTACAGAGTGGAATGTTACAACAACAAAAGTAAAATGGCTAGTTTCTTCTGATGTCACAACGCTGATATTCCCTATGGAATCAGTCATTTCTTTTTTATATCCAAGTTGTCATCCAATTAACAAGTATTAGATAAAAAGCTATTTTTGCTATACATTTGATGGTATTATTAAGAATTTAATCCTGCAAATGTATTTCTCCCTATATTCAATGAGATTGCTTGTAACCTGTCTACTTATGATTTAAACAAAACTGATTTTTTCCAAAAGAACCACTGAAGGGACCCCAGGAATTATATCTGAAAAAGAAAATGAGCATATCGCACTACATGCCTGGCATTCTAAAATGAAAAGAGAAGGATACTCCAGACAAAAGAGGATACAAATCAAAGAAACAAACACTTAGGTGGCAGTTTGTAAATTAGCATTGCCCAAGGCAATTTGGCCCAGCAAACAGTAGATTTTAAAAGACCTGAAACAAAAGATCCCAGTACAATCAATCCTGAATTGTTGCTTGACCAATTCTAGGTCACTAGAGTAGGTGAGTGCAAAATAAAACACTTGCTTTTTGTATTTAATTTTATTTATATGCCGCCCAATCCCAAAGGACTCAGGGCGGCGTACAGAGTTAAAACAATCATAAAACAATAAAATAATACAGTCATACCGCGAGTCAGATCATATCCCAGCCTCCCCCCCCCGGGACATCAGCCCCAGGCCTGCCAGAACAGGAGAGTTTTAACGGCTTTCTTAAAGGCCGGCAGGGTGGGAGTAGTTCGAACCTCGGGGGGAAGTTGATTCCACCAGGTCGGAGCCACCACAGAAAAGGCCCTTCCCTGAGGGCCCGCCAGCCGACATTGTCTGGCCGATGGGACCTGAAGGAGGCCCAATCTATGGGACCTCACCGGTCTCTGGGAACTGTGCGGCAGAATGCGGTCCTGTAAGTAACCCTCCTCCTTCTGTTGGATCTGCTCCTTTTGCACAAGTTCTAGCTTTCCAGGTTGTGTGCCAAACATTTCAACGATAACAATCACATATTTCTATTTCTGGGTTAGGATCTCTACTTTTATAGAGATCCTGTTTATTTCGCATGCTTTTTGTTGGAATAGAAATATCTGAGATTTTGAGTGGCACCATCCGTTGGTCTCTGTTGTACTTTCTTATTAAACTCTGACTTTCCACCAGGGCCTCGATGCTTTCTTCTTTTGTTTCTGATGACCCAGTACTTGACTGTATATTCAAGCCTTAGTTTCTGCCACTTACCTATACTCTGCATCTTTCTCATCAACGTATTGCAATGAATAATAATAATAATAATGATAAAGTTGGAAGTTTGGATTAGCCACCATGGCAGTTTTATATATCTTTATATGCGAGTACATTTTAATGGAACACCTTGGAACCTTTTTTAGAATAAGCACTGATAGAATAGGGTATCAAATGCCTGAAAATAAATTAAATCAAAAGTACTGAATCAATTGATGGATAGTAATAATAATAAAGCTACAGAGTCTTCTCCAAACTCCTTCCATCCTTGGCTAATGCATAACTCATAGTTGGCTATGTTTCTGCTACCCGAAAAGCTTTTTAATCCTATCAAAAAGAAAATAATGAATATTCCTCACCTAAAATAAGTTTATCTACGAAATGGGCAAAAGAACAGCTATCCATCCTTTTAACAATGGAATTCTCAGCAGCTTTGCTTGCTAATACATTTTTCTTTGTTTAAACACCTATCTCACTTGCTCAAACTGTGGGCCTAAATCAGCTCCTTCACATGTCCCATCCTCAACCCTAAAATGTATAAAGTTTTCTTCCTTTCTGTTGTTCAGGATTCCTCTTTCTTGCAAAGCAGGCACCCATAATCATTAAATAAAGATTGATCTTTTTTCCTCAGCATTGTGCTCTTTTTTTGTGAAAATTCCATGAGATACCTGACATTAATGTGGAATAATGAACAATCACTAGAATAATGATTTGTCTGCATAATTACTGGAATAGTGCTGTGTTAGTAGTATGTGACTAACCTAATGTGCATTGCACTTGGATACAATGTATGTAGCAAATTTTCCATTGTATATCCGTGAGAAACAAACCTAATGTATTACAATGTGTATTTCAATGTGTATTCCTTTGTTCCTGAGAAAAGGAAAGTATAAAATTGAAGTCTGAACCCGCCCTCGGAGTTCAGAATTGCTTGTTGCTATTGCTTCTGAACCTGCACAATAAATCTCTCTGCTAAAACCCTCTGGAATTCGTAAGAATCCTTTCGTTTTCCACAAGACTATGACTAGCCTTTTCAAGAAAAGAGATGAACAATTTACATTGCTATTTTTCACATGGAGCAAACAACTGCTATCAACCACACACTCTGCTAGCATCACTTAGATTATTGACAATGTGCTTTTTGACAATGTGCTAAAATTGCTTTAACAGAAATTTGAGCTGCAGTAGAATGAGACAGTGAGGTTGTTCTTCTCAGTGGCTAGAAACATCTCTTGATGTGGAACTGCCATTTCATAATGAACAGTTCTGGTTTACTGTAACAGCAGCAAAGTTTCTGAAATTTACTACCTCTATTTTTTAAAATCTAGTGGGCAGTCTGAAGTGGTGATACAGAGAGGAAGTGTCTGTACCACATTATTATTATTCTCATGATCTATGAATAGACAGTGAGTTTTTTTTCTGTTTCTGGTCTTCTACTGACCTTTTTCCTTCTTTCTGAATGGGAGAATCTTCTGTAGCAAGAAAATTACAGGATGGAGAAGCCATCAAAACATCCTTAATTATTTTTGCAATAACCAGTTAACCTCTTATTAATATTATTGTTACAATAAATGCAATTTCATATACTTTGAAATATACTTACCCCACATCCCTTTTTTTAAAGGATGGATTTATTGACTATTTGGAGCTTTTAGCTGCTATAAATCTGGTGATACGTGGGAAAATTGACCAAAAATTGAAATGGTATTTTAAACTTTATGATATTGATGGGAGCGGAACAATTGACAAAAAAGAAGTAATAAGCATATTAATGGTGAGTAAATGCACAAATTTGCAAGGATGAATCATTCTATGGGATTTTAATATTGTGAACATGCTGATGTTTTGACTGATTTAACAACTGTTATAAAAAATATATGACCAAATTATCACTTATGATTTCTTTGCTGTCCCAGAGACAAGGGCAATACGTATCTACACTGAGTTTTCCCCACTTCCATTAGGTGAGACTGAAACTATCCAAAACTGCTATTGGCTCTTGGTATTTTGGGGAAGTAATCTAGTTCAAGAACATTCAAAGGAACTGTTTTACCTAAGGTAGTGCTGAGTGATCACAACCAAACATTTTAGTACATTTAGAGATGAACCACAATGGTGAAAAGGATTGAACCAAACTTTGTAGATGGGACAAGTGTTTCATTGCTCATGAGAGGAACTGAGTAACAAGCTGTTTTACATATTATTCAAAGAAACTGGGGAAAAATGCAACTATCTTTTATGTGGTCATTCTTATACCAGGTGCCCAGTATCACAATTACTATCATTATTTGTATTTTAAACAGATATGAAAGGGTAAGGTAGAGATTCTTAATCATATATTTGCAAACAGAATAACTGTTTAGCCATAAACAGTAAAACTGTTTATTTTCATATAGGGATCATAATTCCTAAGCCTTTTTTCATAAGAAAAAGCCTTCTTATATATCAAGAGCCTTGGTGGTGCGATGGTTAGAATGCAGTTTTTCAGTCTAACTCACTGCTCACTTCCAGGAGTTTGATCCTGATCGGCTCAAGATTGACTCAGCCTTTCATCCTTCCGGAGGACCAGATTGTTGGGAGCAATATGTTAACTCTGTAAACTGCTTAGAGAGGGCTATAAAGCACTGTGAAGCTTTATAAGCCTAAGTACTGTTGCTATATATAAGACTAGTGTGATTCCAATCTAAGCTGCCTTAAAAGTCTCCTAAAAGAATTATTGTATCACTTAGGGCAGCAATTAATCTAATTTCTTTTCTAGAACATCCAACTTAAGACTTGAATTAGAACAAAACCCCCCAAATATGAGAGTTCCTGGGACAAATTATGTGTGTTTATTAATATGCCGATGGACAGCTTCTTGTTCAAATAATCACATACATTTCAGAAGGAAACATCAAGACTTGAATGTTTGTATGTACGAGTGATTTTTCTATAACAGTGGGACAAGAAAACTACTTAAAGTACTTAACGTAGTTTTTTGTATTTTAAACTCTTTCCCAAGTTCACTTTTTATTCATGTAGTGCAAGAAAATATTATCATAAATGGGAACAAAACAACAGTGCACCATATCTACCGTATATGCCGGTGTATTAGGCGACCCAGCGTATAAGATGACCCCCGTCTTTATCGCCGAGTCGCCTTCCTAGAACGTCGTCTTATACGCCGGAAACTACGAGTATTTCTGGCGTATAAGACGACTTGGCGTATAAGACGACCGCTGTCTTTGGTGCCGAGTTTAGCGCTTCCAGAAGTCGTCTTATACGTCGGCATATACGGTAGTATTTTTAGCCTTATAACATTTAATTATTTATTTATTAAAGAATGTAATTACAGAACAGAGATAAAAACAAATATCCAGCATAAAGGTCGTTAAGAACTAAGCAAGCAAAAACTAAGGCCACCTAGATTATGTTCAGGTTGAATTATTTCTGATCGTCATTTCTATGGCCAGAATTTTGTCTGTTATTATATCTAATTTGGCCCTTTAGAAAAGCCAGTTCAAACATTCAGAAGATTTCTGCAGTGGAGTGCTCATAATTTAGGCTTCTATGTGTTATGCATGTTTTGATTTGGATTCCTACATTGACTTAAATGGTCCCGTTCCAACTTTATGCTTCTATTTTCTTCTTACTGTATTTATTAATGTTTTTATAGAGTGCCCCAACAGGAAGAGCCTACACAGCAGATTATAACGATGTAAAATATGAAACAGTGTAAACCAATATATGAATTGTAAAAAGAGAGCTGAAGCTGAGCATATGTCTGATGACAAAGTTTCAAAGAGTTCTGTAGTTTATATCTGTTTACCTCTGAAGTTGGATTAACTCTTATAAGGTATTCTCAAGGGACAGATTCAATGCTGGCATACAATGCCTAATAGATATTAGCTATATTATGGAAGACTTCATAAGTATTGGCCAGTAATCTGAACTGACCTGTTAAGCTTACTGGTAATTAATGTAGTGATTTTAGAAGAGACGTTACTCTGCCAGAATACTTTTGACCTGCCAGCTGTAGCCTCTGGGTCATCTCCACAGGCTCTTCCACATATAGTATTTTAGTAAACATATGATGTTTCTATATGGATAAATACTGAGACATTCAATCACCATCTTAATTTCTTCAGTTGCAATGAAAAATTAAAAGCAGTAGATTAGTATTAATAGTTTTTTTTTAAATTAAATATCAAAACACTGTGATATGCATTTCAACATAAACTATGTTAATAATCTCTAAAGCTTTAGTCTCTTTTAAATAATGTGATTAGCTTTCAGTGCTGATTTAACTGGATTGCTTTTCTAACTATGCCTATAGTATACAACTATGCAGAGTATACAAAAGCTACCTCTTATATTTGCAATAAGAATGTAGTTATTCTTGCATTCTTATTTATTTAGGCTGTTCAAACCATCAATAACAACCAAGACATGACTCCTGAAGAATTGACAAGCCTGATTTTTCAGAAGATAGATGTAAACAATGATGGTAAGAATAAATATATCTTGAAATCTTTATTTTCATTATTTTGAAATAACTTTGCAATTTGGTAAAAGCATTCTGTTGATATCTATAGAGTTAGCCACATGTATGTACTTCAGAAATATTATAACTGGTTGAAATTGATCTAATTAGATAAGAAGATTACTATATGATGGACAGTGTACAAAGCAAAAGTTGAATTTTTTTTTTAATTCAAAAAGCCATTCAGACTCTATGGCTTGATTTCACTGTGTGTTTGCAGCAAGATGAAATCGAAGGAAGCAGAGAAAGAGAATGGAGAAAATTTCACTCTTTATTTTTGAATTCTTTGTTGAGCAACTTTTATTAAATTGGTTTACAGAGATTCTAACAAGTTAACTGTACTGTAATTAATTGCTTTGCAAAACTATTTTGTTTTTGCACTTGATCCAGGATACCCTACCAGAAATGATTATTGACAGCTAGATAGTTATAAATATATTCAATCATATATGTTGAGAAAAGTAGTCAAACACCAGGATAAATATAAAAACAACTTTTAATAAACTAACAACTGTTTGATAAAATTAGCTTTCAGCAGCTAACTGCCGACATCGTCAGAGTGGAATATGTATGTATGTATGTATGTATGTATGTATGTATGTATGTATGTATGTATTCTGTGTTTTTTTAGAAGCAAAGTGCTGAATCTTTCCATGAGAATCAAAGTGAGAAACATGAATGTTTGAAATGTCGCAAGCTATACTTTTATCCAGATGGAACAGGATAATTGTACTTAGCATTCTTCAGTTGCATTATTACCTAAGATATTCTTGCTTTGGTTTTATGTTAGGGAGATCTGCTTTTTTTTAGTTAAGCTCTATTGTAATTATAAATCTCAGTTTATTGTCAGTTCAGCATCACATTCATTAACCCCCTAAGTGCAACAACCAATTCCAAAAAGAAATATTTAAGAAAAACTTTAATCTACACTATTCCTTGCAATATAAATCTGATCAGAATGGAATAAATATGCAGAGCTAAAGGAAGATGAGAGACTCATTTTGACACATTAAAATGAAACTAATAACCGAGACTCAAATTAAATAGGCCCACAAAGACAAATACATTTTTCTTCTGCATTTTTATTGTTTCAGTAAAAGCAGCTTGAAGAAGCAAGGAGTTTCAACTATCTATCTGAACATTTACTTAGAGCTTAAGAGTTTCTTTTCCCAGTTTTCATTATCCCCATTTCCCACCCTGAAGCATAGTCACATAGCTGTGTATATCTAGGCAGTACCTCCAGCCTTCCTCAGTCTAGGGCTCTCCACATCATTTCCTTTAATTATTAGAATGTCATGCAACAGATTGAAGAAGTCTGCTCTATTTATCTAACAAACTAGTTCTTATGTGGGTCTATTTTACAGATGGAACTTCAGGATTCAGAAATGCATCAAATTCAATTTCAAATAAATGGAATATTTGGTTCCCCATAAATTGGAGATATTGTTGGGCAACTATATTATTTTTACCAAGTACAAGTAGTCCTCAACTTATGACAGTTCACTTAGCAAAGGTTCAAAGTTACAACATTCCCACCAAAAGTACTTATGACACTGTCCCAAGTTACGTATGTTGCAGCACCACAGCAGTTTTTCATCTTACGACTGACCGGAGAGATGCTGCAACATGTTCCCTATCAATTCTCTCCCCCCCCCCATCCTGCCCTGCCAGGGCTCCAGAGACACTGGGTCTGCTTTGGTAGCCCACCACATTCCATATGCTCCTCTGCACCTATTATCAATCACTCACTTATCTTGGGAAGAGCTCCAAAGCTGAAGTCATTTGCTGGAGTGCTGAACCCACTCAGATCTCGCTAATTGCACCACCGTGGAGTTGTATAGAGAAATGGAGAGCTTGGTGCATCAGCTGCCCTGTACCCCTCGCTTACTGGGCACACTATGTCAGATATCCGGCTGCTCCCACCTTCAAGACAGTCTCCTCCCTCAGGGTGCCCCTTGCGGCCCTCAGGCGTCCCTATGCCTGCCATATCTCTACTAGAGTGCACCTGACAAGCAAGAGGCGCACCACTTCAAATTTTCTTGCGCCAATATCTCCATTTCTCTATCCGGCTCTGCAATGACACAATTGCAAGATGCGGCCAAGTTTGGCATTCCAGCAAGTGGTAGAGTAGGGCCACGCTCACTTTTGAGAGACACTGAGGCTCAATGGGGAAGGGGAGGGGCCAGCCCAGGGTTTCTCCGCCTGGTTGAACAAGGGCCTCAGCACCCAAGACAGTGCGGATGCTGTGGGACTCCCAGGCATGACACCCAGCAGCTGCACTGACTTATGCCTCTGCAAGGGCTCAGGAGACACCGGCAATGGTGCTGCTGCTCTGGCTATTAGAAAACTATATGCAGAAGGCACACATGGACAAAATAAGAGATGCAATAAATCTCACATTCTTACATACACTTCCGTGTTCCACACAAAAACTTTTTTCCAAAGAGGATAGGTGTGTGTGTAAGAATGCGAGAATTAAGAAAAACAACTTTGCAACAACTTGAGCTGTAGAGATCTTCACAAAGTAAGTGGGTGATTGGTGACGGGTGGAGAGAAAGCCCAAGGGGGTGGAAAGAGGAGCATGGGATATCTCAGTGGGTGGCTAGAGGCTGTGGTCTTGTCCTTGCACTCGGGCTCCAATGGTCTTTGCCACTCCTGACATACTTCATGTGCTCTTAACGACTTGCACATTTGATTAATGAGTGCATTGGGAAGAGGAGGGATGGGGCTCATTCATTTAACATGATTCACTTAACATTACAACAGTAATGGGCAAGCTCCATTACATTCGTAACTCAAGGACTATCTGTAATAAATATTTAGAGGTAATGATAGTGTTTTCCCCAATTCCAAGACAGAAAAAGTCTACAAACCTGTGACTCTAAAGAAATGTATATTGTTTTTATCACAGGGGAACTGAGCTTAGAAGAACTCATGAATGGAGTGGAAAAAGATGAACATTTCCAGGAAATTATTTCAAAGAGCTTTGAGCTCTCCAATGTACTGAAAATTATACAAAGTGAGAGAAGACACAGCATCTGACGCATATTATAAATGGCACTTGCGATAAAAAGAACAATGTAAGAAATATAATATCAAATACCAAAACAGACTGTTACATTTCCCATCCACTATTCAAAGCATAAGATGGTCTAGACCACAGGTGTCAAACTCGTGATGTCACGTGACTTTTTTCCCATTGCTGGGAATGGGGTGGGCAAGGTTTTAGCGTGACGTATTTGGCCCACGGGTCAGCAGTTTGACACTCCTGGTCTAGACAAATTATTACTTCAGAACTGTTCTTCATCTATTGTTCCTTCCTTTTCTTTCTCATAATATACAATAGCTTTTGTCTACATATATAACAAAATTTTTTGTAATGCAGAATGAAATAAACACAGAACATAACACTTAGCACTGGGACAATATATCCAAATAAATGTATAGATAAATACAATGGGAATTGGGAAGACATCTCTCTAGAAAATACAGAATAGATAAATTGCTTAAATATAATTTGTTTAATTTGGAATTGGAGCATGGTGATAAAGCATTATATAGGATTGGCCTATTCAGATCAGTTTAGGGTGAAGTATGTTTTTGCATTAACTTAATATCTACACTAATCAGTTTAAAAATAGGAGTAAATTTTCTAATTAACACCTCAATTAGTTTAACATTAGTTATTTAAATATAAATAACTATTTGGAAAAGCAGTTAACTACTTTGGTATTATGGGAATTATTTCAAATATAAATTAACATGATGTAATAATTTGGTTTTAAAGGTTTTTTTTAAGGGTTACAGTTAAAAAAAGAAATCACTTTAAAAAATGATCATGAAATTGGGGGGGGGGGACAAGATAGCAGTATTCCAATATCTGAGAGGCTGCCACAAAGAGGAGAAGGTCAATTTATTTTTTCCAAAGCACCAGAGGGCAGGACGGATGGAAACTAATCAAGGAGAGAAGCAATCTGGAATGAAGGAGAAACTTCCTAACAGTGAAGATGATTAACCAGTGGAACAGCCTGCCTTCACTGGAAGTTTTTAAGAAGAGACTATTGTCATTTGTCTGAAATAATAATAATAATAACAACAACAACAACAACCTACACCATTTCTGACAAATGGCTGTCCAGTCTCTTCTTAAAAGCTTCCAGTGTTGGAGCATTCACCACTTCTGGAGGCAGGTCTCCTGCTTGAGCAGGGGCTGGACTAGAAGACCTCCAAAGTCTCTTCCAAAGCTCTATTCTGATTGATGAAATGAGACAAATTTGAGGAAATAATTACGAGGATGCATTTCAGAGGATGCATTTCAAAACTTTGTCTTCAGCTATCAAAGATTAATCCCAATATATTATATGAAACATATATTTAACAATAAAACAATTTAAAGGTAATTATTAAAATTACCTCTTCTTAAATCCTAGAGTTCTTTCCTGCTTTCATATCTTTTTCTTCTTATTGCTTTTGAAGAAGCAGTTTTCAACCATTCCAAAATTACGTATTTGTATATCAAGTAAAACTTTCCTTTTTCTGTCTATTAGCTTCTGACAGCATCCTTTACAGTAATGGTGCAAGAATACATACAGCCATACACGCACACTCCTATACCTGACTCTAAAAGCTTTCTGAATCTGAAAAAAAGATGAAATCTTCAGACATTATTAGAACAATATGTAATTTTTATATTCAGATTTGCCACCTAAGTAATTTTCCTAACTTTATAAACTAATACTAAAAATTCTCCTCTCTCTTCAGTCCAGGAAGAAGAAAAAAACTGGGCACACATTTTTTTTCCTGTCTGACATATTATTGACAGTTTCCCAAATCCAGAAGTGAGAAAGTCCAAAATAAATCTTCACCGTGCTAAGCTATTGAAAGTAGCTTGACAATGCCCAAAAGGTTTGTTTTTCTCTCTCCCTGAAACAGAAATATTTTCTTTCCTACCCAGAAAGCATCCTATTTAACTTTCTGTTCTCAGGCTAAACTATACTTAGTGTTCCTCAACCTCCTTAGTACATGTTAATTTGTGTAAATGCTACATTTTTAAAGTCTCTTGCTTTTTTGTTATCATCGTAAGCTTTAAAAATTACAGTTTAGTTTTTTTTCTGTGTTCCTTACAACTGTACTCTGTATAGTTTTATTAAAGTGAACCTCTTTTTGAAATCTCATTTCCCTGAACTTTCTCAGAATTCATTCTTTGTATTGTGTTGTTTTCTATTGTATTGTTTTATTGTTTGTTGATAAATAAATATAGAAAAACCCCACTCTGTTTCTAATTAAACTGAATAGATGAAATTTTTCTCAGATTATTAGCTGTTTAAGGATTTCTATGTAACTGATCATTGTAATTGCCATCAATAGTTAGCCAACATTCACTAAACTACAGCCTCCATGATAAAGTAATGCCAGAAAGGGACAGAATACAGGTAGTTCTCAACTTACAAGGATTCATTTAATGATCATTCAAAATTACAACGGCATTGAAAAAAGTGACTTATGACTGTTTTTCACAATTCCAACCTTTGCAGCATTGCCACAGTCACATGATCAAATTTAGACGCTTGGCAACTGACTCATATTTATGATGATTGCAGTGTCCTAGGGTTGCATGATCCCCTTTTTTCTGTCTTCGGAAAAGTAAAGTCAATGGGGAAGCCAGATTCACTTAACAACCATATTACTAACTTAACAACTGCAGTGATTCACTTAACAACCTTTGGTAACCTGTGGTAAGAAAAGTCGTAAAACAGGGCAAAATACACTTAACACATGTCTCACTTAGCAACAGAAATGTTGGGCTTAATTGCAGTCATAAGTCGAGGATAACCTGTACACACTTCTCTGGAATAACTTTAGCACATTTTGCTAACCCTCCTCTCCCAGATTTCTTTTTTTAGTCAAAAAGCAGAAATCTGGAAAGTTGAAACAAGAACTGGGAAAACAGGAAAAATGTTCAGATAATTGGTTGTAGTAGGCTAGAATTGGGAGAGTATGAGTTCTAGATCCACCTGAGGCATAAAGTCAATTGGGTGGCCTTGGGCCAGTCACTTTCTCTCAGCCTAAGAAGGAGACAATGTCAAAGGACTTCTGAGAAACCTTGCCAAGAAAACCACAGGGACTTGCCCTGGAAGTTTCTGAGAATCAGACATGACTGAACAGAAGAAAAAAAATAACCAGGATATACAACTGCCAACCTATCACCAGATGGGCTCAGTATAGAGGAATAAGTGAACCCACTACAGTCTGTTGCTTCCTATACATAGAAACATACACACATACACACATTCTTTTAAAAAATGTTTCAAAGGATACTACTTTGTGCTCAAGACATACGCACCCCCCCCCCTCTTTTCCCCTCATTGTACTCCTCAGAGGAGTAATTTTTTATTTTAGCTTCTGGGGGCAGAAAAGAAAGGCAAAGTAAAAAAGGAAGGGGGAGCTTGGAGAAGAGTTTGCAGCTTTAGTTTATTATTATTTTCCATCAAGCCTACTTGTTGCAATAATTTACATGGTGAAATTATCATTTGTTTATTCCTTTGATGTCCCTGGGATCAAAGGGAACAGAAATATAGTTACATTTTTGGTCAATAATGTTGAGCACCATTTGTGGATTCAAGGAAAAAAAAATAAACAGCAGACTGAATCTTAAGTGGCAGTGCAACTCATCCAATGTAGCTATTTTCAAAGGTCACTTAGGCGAGATGGGTATAAAACTTTGATAAACTACATACATATATGTGTATATTTGTATGTGTGTATCAGTATCTGTTTTCTGTCCAAACACCAATCAGCAGCCAGTTATTTCACTTTGTCTGAATAACAAAATATTGATTGATGCACTGAGCTGTTTAATTTACTTATCTTCTTTTAGTCTAAAATTGGTTATTACAAATTAACCTAGCAATATAAAATGTTGATATTAGTGTAGCAAATTCTTACTTTGACATTTACCATACATTTAAGCTATAACTGAATTTTTCGTCGTTTCATACGCAATGCACTTATTTTCATGCAGAGAACAATTTTGACAAATTCTGTATTCATCAAAAGTATAATATAATAGCTTCTAATATATTAGAATCTTTTCATATAACATTGCTTCTGATGCAGTACATGTGCAAGTACATGTTTCACTGAGATACTTTTAAAATGAAGATTCTTCCTAATTGGAAGTTCTTATCGTTTGTCATTTCTTTTCACCTGAAAACCAGAATCAAATCCCAAATTAGCTGGTTCTGTCGGAGCGGGGGGGGGAGGGGAAAAGAACTTAATCCTTAAAGTGCCATCCACGTCTCTTTATTTTACATCCCAAAGTACAGCTAAATTTAAACTTTGAGGATTATGCAGCCGGCTGTTATGGTATAACCAGGGGTAGGCAACCTTGGCTTTTATGACTCGTGGACTTCAACTCCCAGAATTCCTGAGTCAGCCTACCCTTGGTATAGGGCAGTATTTCCCAAACTTGACAATTTTAAGGCATGTGGACTTCAACTCCCAGAATTCCACAGCCAGCATTGCTGGTATAGGGCAAGGGTAGGCAACCTCGGCTCTTTTATGACTCATGAGTCAGCTGACTCAGGAATTCTGGGAGTTGAAGTCCATGAATCATAAAAGAGCCGAGGTTGCCTACCCCTGGAATAGGGTCTCCTGCTTGAGCAAGGGGTTGGGCTAGATGATTATTTCTAATACCTGTCATATAATGCACGCGCACCGAAGAAAATCACAGTCCACCTCTGGCAAACATATATGCAGTCTTTTCGGCGTCACTTTAGATTGGCCAAAATGAAATTGTCTTAGAGAATTCCTGCCTAAGAAATATAGGACGATTTCAAGCGTTCTCTTTTCATTCCCGTCTCCGCCCACGAGAGAAGATTGGAAGGCAGAAATGGACGCCCGAACGTTCAAACAGAAAGATTGTAATCAGAATGACTTTCTATCCTTCTGATTGGCCCGCTTGCAGAAAGCGACGTGAGAAACCGCCTATCGGAGTAAAGAATCGGAAAAGTCTTACAGGGATTGGAATGGCGCTATATTTGAATTGGGAGCGGGCGGGTTTTTCTTTTTCGGTTTCAAGTTCCGGCCTTGGTGTATCGGGACCAACCAATGGTAGTGGAGGATGGGGGTTCCTGCAAATTAGGGGCAATTGACCTGGATAGAGTGAGGAACTGAGGGGAGGGGAGTATCTTTATTATTTTCTTTAGAAGTAGAAGAAGCAGCAACAGCACCATGGATTGGCGTTTGCGGCAGAGCCGCTACCGCTTCATCTCTTCAATGGAGAGCATTGTGGACAAGGTAAGTACAGTGAGGATTCAGCGTCATTGAAACGGCTTTGATTTAGAGGATCGGAACTGCGTGGGAAGGTTACAAGTGTGCTGTCAGGGTCCAAGACCTTGGCGATGACTATCCTGCTGGTCCCTTTTCCAAACCGATTTCATGATGACAAGTAACACTGCTGTCCTCTCCTTCCTCTCGAATTAGTAGTAGTAGTAGTGGTGGCGGCAGTGGTTGTACTTTACCATTATTATATCGTTCTTCCTGCATGAGAATGGAGGAATGGAGAGCACTCCGGTTTAGAAGTCTGTTTTTAGGTATTTTAGGGCAATGGGCCAAAACTGAGCAGAAGTAGATGTGCTTTTACAGTACTGCGGTTTGTTGAAAATACAGCCATGCGCACTTAGTTCCTTGGTATAATTGCTTCATCAAATTCAGGAATATAGATTGTTGTTTAGCCGCAAAACATAATGTTGGGTTTGTATAGTTAGACTGCACATAATCCAGACCAAGGCGACCGTTTTTGGAATACACACAAAAAGGGGGAGGTTGATTCCTAGACGGTGACAGAGACAGCAATCATATGAATTTCTGCATCCCAAGTTTGAAAGTCTTCATGTGATCCACATCACATGAATATAAGTAACACAGTTTTCAAATCGGATATAGATTTTCTTTGGTAAAATCCATCTTCAATAGAAATTCTAATCCCATTGGGCTACACGTGTTTTGAAAAAATTCTTTAATCTAAAAGATCTACTTAGTTGTTAGAAAGCTGATGCCATATTTTCTTAATTTAGTACAACTTTGCCTTTGAAGATGATATAGTTGTCTCTATCAAATCACTGACTTATCAGACACAGGATGGTAAGATTATTTTTACCTTATTTTATTACTATATTTATATTTCATCTTAAAACTATACAAATAGAGAAATATATTGAATCTTATTTAAGAATAAAATGAAAAATTAGCAAAATTTATTGCATACATCTGTCTGACTCTCTTTCTCTCTACATGTGTGTATGTGTATACATGTGAACACATACTCATATCTTGAAATTACTAAGAATAGAGCTTCTATTATATAAAAATATTTAGGTAAGAAATTGTCCTCCTGTACAATTTGAAACAAGATAGTAAGGAAATCAAATACATTAATATGAATAGAAAATCAAAATATAATCCTACATTATGAAGCTTATATTGCAGAATCTACACAAACATACAATAGTTTGCTATACTAGACAAATGTGGTGCAATTATCCTAGATATTTTAGTGGCATTCAATACTGTCAACCACAGTGCAAGCATTGGGAGATAGAGGCACAATGGTAGATTGTTCTAATGCTTCTTCACTGAGCATATACAGAAGGTATTCAGGAAATAGGTTAGATCCCTGAGCACTGTTGTTTAATTTTTTGCCTATTCTGTTCCAAGACATACCTGAAGGCACTGGGAGAGGTCATCTGTCACCTTGGCTGAAATATAAGTATGCTGATGATACTCAGGTATACATCTCCATCCCAGGCCCATTGGGAAATATGGATGTCTGGACAGTATCAATATCTGGAGAGTATCAGAATTTGGGGAAAAAGTCATACTTAACCCAACCATGAGAAAATGGCTGTTGATTACCATATTTAGTTCTTGAAGAGATTGTGCTTCCTGGAACGTACAGATTCACATCTGGGAGTCCTCCTGGTCTTGGGGTTCTTGCTTGAAGAGCAGGTGAATACTGTACCCAGGAGGACTTCTACATAACTCTGATTGATACACCAGTTATGGCTTCTCCTAGAAAAGGATGTACTGAAGACACATATACATGTGCTTAACATATATTATAGAACATGATTGAAATTTGGTCCAGAATCCAGCTCAGGCAATCAAGCTAAATTTCATAAATATTTTTTATGGATTTGGATGGGTTTTTTTTGTTGGAAATACTTAAATTACAGCTAGAGTTAAATATGCATGGAGAAGTAATTTAAGGTCATGGGTAATGTAGGATCAAAGCAGATGGTAATAGAAAATGTTCATAACTTTACTACTTTAAATTTGAATATAACACAGGAACTTGGGATCCAGTTTCATACTTCTCGATGACATAAAGTTTTATCTGCAAGGAATCTAAATTTCAGTTAATAAATCGAAGTTGTTCTTATCCTATCTTGGTTTCAGTTCCAATGCCAATTTACAGCAGATAGGATAGAATAGGATAGAATACAGAAAAGAGCAACAAAGATGATTAGAGGGCTGGAAGCTAAAACATATGAATAATGGTTGCAGGAATTAGTATGTTTAGTAAAAAAAAAGGGGGGGGGGACTAGGAAAGCTATAATAGCAGTGTCCCAGTGTTTGAGGAGCTGTCACAAAGATGACAGGGACAAACTATTTTCCAAAACATCAGAAGGCAAGACAAGAACCAATGGATGGAAATTAATCAAGGAGAGAAGCAACCTAGAACTAAGGTTTCCATTATTAGACATAACATACAAAAAGTGAATAGACATGGAAAATATGTTCTGCTCATTGATTATTATACAGCGCTTTCTCCTTGCATACTGTAATAAAAACTAATTTCCAATTTTCTGTCATAGTCTGGAGTGGTCATTCCTTATTGGGAGGAAGTCTAGCCTCTATCCCAGATGAGATCTCTAATTTATGACTTTGCCCTAACTAAAGTTTATATAGATTACAATCTTAATCAGAAATATGTATTCTAACTAATTTATCTATTCTTTTGCAATTTATAGGACCAAGAATTTGGGGAGAAGATGATGAAATTTTAGATGTGTCTTATGAGGTATTAACATGTTTGCCTTTCATTTTTAACCTTGTTATTGCTAATATGAAATTTATTTCTAAGTTGTTGGGAACATGTTTAAAAATCTAAACATTTGTGTTGGATGTAAAGGTACCTGCTGGTATTCAGAAGTTAGTCAAGATGGAGCAAATTTGTAGGGCTTTTAATCTATGCTAACTCTTCCTTAAAGTTCAGAGGCCAAAGTGAGTTCATAGTTATATTATTCATCAGTTTTAGGTATTTGTCTATTATATTGATTCTGAAGCTATAAAGTTTCAGCAGGGTTTTTTTAAGTATACAGAAAATAAATAATTTTGTTTGATGGTTACAAATAATAAAATATCCAATTTAAATTATTGTAATTCAACCTTTGTTAAATAGGCATTGCATAGATGATTAGAGGTAGCAATAATAGTTGGAAGGGACCTTGGAGATCTTCTAGTCCAACCCATGCTCAGGCAGGAAACCCATTTCAGACAAATGGTTGTCCAATCTCTTCTTAAAAACCTCCAGTGTGGGAGTACCCACAACTTCTGGAGGTCAGTTGTATTTATTTGATAGCATTTTTGTTTTTGTAATGATTAATGATGAAATTCAAACATAGTTGTAATACCTAACATTCTTTAATCAATTTACTATAATAGAATAAATGTTTTTAAAACTTGTTATTTACTTTTCCAAGTAAGAAAGGCAGATAGTCTTGTTACTTTCTGAATATTGTTCTGAATACAATTCATCTCCTAATAGTTTTCCTCTGTGTTTGAGCATTAGTAGCTGAATAAGACTAATATAGATTAATTAAGGTCTGTTTATATCAGTGGAATTATACTGATAGATAATTTTGCAAACATATAATCTTAAAGTTAGTTTACTGTGAGTTGCAATCAAAACTAAATATTTATTCATCAAAAGACAGATCACTAAATTCCTTCTAAATGTGTGAGCCTCCTATTGATTGACTATTGCTCCCTATGTTCTTATTAGTATAGTTTCCTAGTTTAGAGAGATATGTTGAGCTTCTACAAGGTATCCAAAATCAATAGGTCAAACGATTTGTAAAATTTCAGAGAATCAGGTCTCTTTATTATTTATATAATAGAATCCTAAAACTTTGTTTGAACTTTAATTGACAGAGGAAGAAAGAAAAATTACTACAAATACTAGTTTGCTGCAAAAGCCAAATTGGAATTTATAGTTTAAACAGATTTTCCAATTTTTCTTTTGGACACAAACTGGTTTATACTAGTTGTAATTTTCCCAGTTTAAATATGTAATTCCACCAAACTGATGTTTCAGAAGCAATAGAAGGTAAGCTTGAGATCTTCTTGAAACTTAATCATACTTTCTATGAATTTCTTTTTAAGATATTCACTACCACTGCAAACAGGTTATAGCAAAAGAAATGTCTTTAGTACAGTAATGCTGAAGTTTGTTTAAATCACATAAAATTAGTGGTTTCAAGTTGTAGATAAACATTTGTCTAGATTCTCTCCCTTTCTTCTCTGGACCCGTGGATGCTGGTAATGTAAGGAAAGGAATACAATATCGTGAACAAGCAAAGAATTGTCCTTTTATTATACTGTTATAGAGGAATTCATTAACTGAAGTCTTTGTTTAAAACCACAGAACAGTATACAATGCCAGGAAAACATAGGTAAGAAAAGGTTTTTGAAATTTCATAATATCTCTGTCTTACATTGTGAAAGAATTTGGCCTTTGATTGTAATATATAAAAGAAAATTTCAAGATTTGGATAATTGGTTAGCAAATGCAGACAAAAGTTGTGATGACAAGACAGAAAACAAAGAAATAGACCAATGAATTTGTACAGCTATGTGCAGAAATTAATAATTCTTGTTATGCTTATGATACTTATGCTCAATAAGTGTAAATTAATAATAGTTATGTGTAGATTTCTCAGTAGTTACTTTGAAAGTTAACTATACAAATTCTATCATAAGATATTGGTATTTGCTTTTAATAGTCTTGAGATTCTTAAGAGTTGTTTAGTGAAAGAAAATGATAAATTGAATGAGAGCTTGAGACTTTTCTTAAAAAATATACTTTATTGCCATGTGATTTTCTGCTGCTGAATCAGGATTCCTGGTTTATTTAATTGCCCCTAAGAATTTACAGAACCATTCAAACTCTGAGGTAATCTGGAATTCCTTATCCAAAGATAAAGTATCAATAAATTAAGTACTGTAATAAAATATAGATGATTGTTCTATATATAGCAAAACTGAACTCTTTGTTGTCAATTATAGGATTTCATTCAATCACAAAGATAATAAGATATATCAAAATGTTGTTAGCTTTTGGTTATATTAGTAAATAAAAGTCAAATTTCTTTTGAATTGAGCTCAACTCTAAATCAGGTTAATGGAAAGTTTGTTTATTTAGTCTTTTTTTTAATAGATGTATATGCTGTCCAGTCTTTAATATGTGACTCTTTGCCCAGGTGTAATAACATAATATGGTTATGTTATACCAATCTCCTGTTTAAACCATACAGTCATACCATTATATAAAACGTAAGATGCTTAAATGAACTGAGTATTTTGAACTTCTAAATGTAAGAAAGATGTTCATTAATAAAATAAGTGTCTGGTTTGTATGTATGAACTGATTTTAAATGCCATTGAAGATGAAATTTTATTTTCAGATGCGCATATCTAATTAAAATTTGTCTTTTCAATTAAGTGCAAAAGCAGAATTCTGATTTTGAAGAAGACTCTACAGATGATCAGGTATGATCTGCCAGTAGCTTAGAAACAGTAATATGAAACTCTTTTCTTCAGTTGCAAGTATATCAATCTTCTCATTCTCCATTTTTACTGCCATGCACCATATTTTTTTTTTAAAAAATTAAACACTTATTTGTGATTCCCTCTGCCTTTTCTTCACACTAATAATTTAATTTTTATTGTGATTTTGATAGCCAAAATAGTACACTAGGTTACAGAATGATCTTATATTTTTAACTGTACCAATTATTAGACAAACCTATTTCTTTTTAATTGTGAATAAAGAATAATATATAAAATATATAGATGAGTAATGCTTATCACTGTTTTATCGAAATATTACAACAGAGCTTATATGAGAAGCCACTTGGAAAAATGGAGATCTCGTTATGGATTTCATAGCTTTAATTCTACTATTCTACTATTATTCTAATATTGCCACATTGGCTCTTATTTCCAAGTAACCTTAAAACATAATATTTCTGATAAATTGCAAAATGAAATAGCCTGATAGGCAAAAAAATTATAAGGAATTTTCAGAATCTTTTTGAATAAATGATAGGGGCATTTTATTTATAAATTATTGAAGGGTCTGCCCAAGGCTATTATGTAAACATTAGTATATTTATATTTAAGGCCTGAAAAGCTAAATCATTTTGTCTCTGTTTATCCTTGTGGCATTGTCCTGTATAAAAATGGAAATTAATGCAATATAATATTAGCCACTCAGAGTTTCCTGAACCACAACATGGGTGGCAAATAAATTTGATAAATAAATATTAAGTCAGCAAAGTATCATTTTGTTTGATTCCTCCCTCTCTCCCATCTCATCATATAATTAGCAGCAACATTACAAATATATAAGTGATTGATGCAAGAGATAGTTCTTCTATATGTTTGGAAAACATAAAAAGAAATTGGTATAGAAGCATTTTGGAGCAAAAAAATCTAAGTTTGTAAGGTAGTGCATAATTGATTTCAGAATATCATTGTACATGTGTGCATTTGTGTGTATGCACACACATTCTGAGAAACTATTTTTTGTAATAACTAGTCTTTGTACTAACTTCTTTGTCACTCAGTACTAAAACTGATTTTGTACACTAATTGAAGTTAATGCAGTATTTGTAATTTTGGGTTTTTAAAGACATTTGAGGAAGGCCAGTTCACCAGCTTAAATGAAGAGAGTCAACTCAGTCCAGGTAAGCACAAAACATGTAACCCTGAAAATTACTTTCAGCTTATCTACACATGCTTTACTATGGATCAAACTTATTTTAAAATGCATTTAACTGATACTTGATATGCAATTCCTATATGTCATACTGTATTTATATTTAACAATACCAGTGCATCATAAACCTCATCCTGTGAATTAATGAATCACAGAATTTTAGCCAAAAATGTAATTTTTATTTTTGTTTTAAGCAACATTTTTGGTATCTTTTTGTACGAATGAAATTCGTACAAATTGTAGTATTTGGATTGAAGTGTATTTAAGTCTGTAATTAAGAATCGTATGAAATTAGAGCTCCTTTTACCCTTTTAAATCATTAATGTGTTGTTAATTCATTATCCATTCTTCAAATAACTCAGATTACTGTATTTGTGTCATTATTTTTTTAAACCTTGATTTGACAGCTTTCTGTATGACTTTCACTCATGGCCTCCCACGTACATTTCTTAAAGAATGACAGTACAACCAGGCAATTTAAGTGAAAACTGTCTTTATTCTAGTTATACAATTACTTGTCAATGAAAGGCTTTTAAAGACCATGGTAATCACAGTGCTTGATGTACGTTTTTTATATTGGCAGCAATATAATGTTTGTTTTTTGATAGCTACCAAAAGAAGAGTAAATCTTTCCTTTATGTGTTTTTTAAAAAAGTGAAAAAATCCTGTATGAAAAATTAAAATCTTGGTATTAGTTATGCTGACTAAAATATAACTTTTATTTAATTTTGAATTGCAGATAGCAAAGGGAAGGCTGAGTTGGCGTCTGTTAAATGTCAGTTGGCCAATATACATATCCAGGTAATAGTATAAATAAAAATAAATTTTTTCTCACCATATTAGGATATTTATTTTAGGTGTCATACACCTAAATGGACATAGACATATAGGTACTCCTCATTTAGAAATCACAATTGGGAGTGGCAACTTGGTCATTTAGTGTAGCAATTGCTAAATGAAACTGGAACTGTGTGCCTACAATCCTACTTCACTTTTTCTCTGCTGTACAAACCTTCAGAGGTCATAAATGAAAAAAATGGTTGTAAATAACTTCCGGTGGATCTGCGCGCGCGATGGCGGCTACTTTGTAGCCGTCCTCCTGGGTAAGTGTTTGAATCGCTATGAACAGCGGCCATCAGCTGTTCAGCGGTTCAAAATCCCACTCCCGGGCAAAGGGGGAGGAAGAGGGTTGTCTGAATAGTGGTAGAGCCACTCTCATGCACCCCCAAGGCTTTTTTGGGGGGTGAGAGGAGTGCTCCCACGGAGTTCAGACTGTCTCCGCTTCCCAGCTGCTTTTGTCCCTAGGGACAAAACAAGCCGCTGCAACCACCTCCGCGATTAAAGTGATCTGGTGAGTTTTTTTTAGAGGCGGACAGAGCTGAGTAGATGATTTAGCTTTTGCTTTCTTTGATTTTATTTGGATTTTAAGTTTAAAGATTTACTTTTACTTTTATATTCCCTCTTTTTATTTTTTTTTCTTTTGTTGAAAGGGAAAGTAAAATGGCGATCGGCAAGCCTTTCGGGGGTTTTTTTTTTTTTTTTGGGAAGGTAGAATGGCGATCGGCAGGCTTTTTGGTGGTTTTTTTTTATCCTTTTCCTTTTTTTTTTAATGATTGGAACGGAATGTGGATTTGATTTTGATGTTGGGTTTGGATTTTAGAAGCATTATTATTTTTGTTTAACTTCTTTGTTTTGCTTTTTGTACTTTTAAAAAAAATGGAATAGATTTTTTCTATTTAATTATTTTTTTCTTCTTCCCTTTTCTTTTTTTAACTCCTTTCTTTTTATTATAATGATCTCCTTTTGAAGGATTTTTTGATTTTTTGGCGTTAATCTCTCTTTTTCTTTTGTTTAATTTTTGTAACTTTTAAGAAGGAGTAAAGATTTTTCTAAGATGGCTCCAAAGCGTTCAGTATCTTTTTGTTATAATGATCTCCTTTTGAAGGATTTTTTGAATTTTTTTGGACTTAATCTCTCTTTTTCTTTTACTTAATTTTTGTAATTTTTAAGAAGGAGTAAAGATTTTTTTTAAGATGGCTCCAAAGCGTCCAGTAATTCCTACAGATCCTAAGGTGGTTTCTTCTTCGGTGTTATCATCAGTGCAACAACCTAAATCAATAGCTTCACCCTCTTCCTTGGTACAGCCAATAATTGTGAAGGATTTGCAAGATATGATGGGAAATGTTATATCTCAAATTAGGGCAGAAATGAAAGAGATTTTAGAGGAAAATAATAAGATTTTGAGGCAAGAGATAGTTTTGGCTCTAAAAGGAGTTGCCTCTGTTCTTGAAAAGCTGAACTCTCGTGTAGAAGAGGTAGAAGAAAAAGTGGAATTGATGGAGGGAAAATTTGAAAGCATGGAAAAAGAAATGGAAAATGAGATTCTTATGCTTCAATATAGACAAATGGAATATGCCTTAAGAATCAGAGGTTTGGGAGAGTCTGTGCAAGGAGATCTGAGAGAGATGGTTGCAAAGGACTTTGCTGTGATTTTGAATAAAGAAAAAGAGGAAATACTTAGTGAAATTGAAAAATTATTTAGAGTTAACTCTGTGGTGGCAGTGCAAAAGAATTTGCCAAGAGATGTGGTAATTTACTTTGGGAAAAGATCCCTGCGCAACGAAATTATACAAGCTTTTTATAAGAAGAGATTTCAAATTGCTTCACAAGATGTTATAATTCTAAAGGAGATCCCATCTAAAATTTTAAGAAGAAGAAAGGAGTTTGCTTTTTTAGCAGATGAACTTAAAAAGAGACGAATCTTGTTCAGATGGGATGTTCCGATTGGAATGGTGGTGAATTACCTGGGGATATGTTATAGACTTAATACTGTTTCTCAAGCAAAAGACTTTTATACTTCGGTCCTGGGGGTATGTTCATCGCCATCTATTAAGTTTAAAGCTTTGGAAGAAAAGAAGGTAGAATTGCAGTCTGAAGAGCCTATACTTATGAAAATTGGGAAACCTCAGTTTGAGGGGCCTCAACAAGTTGAGATGGAGGAGCAGAGGATAACCTGTGCAACATATAACTGTAAAGAAAAGGAGCAACAGAAGAAGGTTAAGGAAGCCTCACAACTATTGGTTTCTGAATCTGTGGGAGAAGTAGGATTTATAAATTTTTTGGAGCAACCTTTAAGGGTAGAATTGCAGTCTGAAGAGCCTATATTAATGAAAAATGGGAAATCTCAGTTTGAGGGGCCTCAACAAGTCGAGATGAAGGAGCAGAGGACAACTCGTGCAACATATAATCGTAAAGAAAAAGAGCAACAGAAGAAGGAGTTTAAGGAAGCCTCACAAGTATTGGCTCCTGAGTCTGTGGGAGAAGCAGGATTTATAAACTTTTTGGAGCTACCTTTAAGGGCAGATTTCAAAGCACTTCTTTCGAGATTTATGGATAAGAGAGACTGACAAGGATGGAGATCGAATGAAAATTCTAGATAAGAAGTTTAAGTATTCAAAAGAGTACTGAGTCTGTGGGAGAAGCAAGACTTACAAACTTTTTGGAGTTAGCTTTAAGGGCAGTTTTCAAAGCACTTCTTTTGAGATTTATGGACAAGAGAGACTGATAAGGAATGTGTTTATTGTGGATGGAATTTGTTATTGGTAAAGATTTAAATGTGTATAAGGGAGTTTTAATGGTTTATGGACAAGAGAGACTGATAAGGAATGTGTTTATTGTGGATGGAATTTGTTATTGGTAAAGATTTAAATGTGTATAAGGGAATTCTAATGTTTTAAGTAATGTTCAAATTTGTGTTTTGGAGGGAGTTTATAAAGAATGATGGATAATAACATAAGTATGATATGAAAAGGTTCAGAGTATATTATAATGTGTTTAATGATTGGGTTTTTTATTATTATTATTATTTTTAAGAGAAGATAACTTGTTTAATTAAATGTACCTAGATTTGTTTAGGATTTATATGTCTTTTAAGTTTTTTTTTTGATAGGAGAGAAGATTATGGAGATTGAATGAAAATCTTAGATAAGAAGTTTAAGTTTAAGTATTTAGTTTAAGTATTCAAAGAGTATTTAGTTTTAATGGTATAATGAAGGTTTATATGTTTATTTTTGTGTTCTAGGATAAAGAAAGAGGGAGAGATTAGATTTTATATTGTAGGTATAGATATTCAAAGAAAGTAATGTTTAAATTTGTGTTTTGGAGGGAGTTTATACAGAATGATGGATAATAATATAAGTATGATATTAGAAAATGTTTAGAGTATATTATAATGTGTTTAATGATTGCAATTATTATTTTTTAGAGAAGATAACCTATTTAATTTAATGTATTTAGATTTGTTTAGGATTTATATGTGTTTTAAGTTTTTCTTTTTTTTTTCTGAAAAATTTTAATTAAGCCTGTACTCAGCTCTGGGAAGGTTGGGGGAGGGCTTGGGAGGTTTGGGGAGGTGGGGGAGGGTATGGGAGGGTGGGGGGGGTTGGGGAGGGGATTTGTTTTGTAAAATTTAAAAAACTTTCAATAAAAAAATGGTTGTAAATTACTTTTTATTCCATCATAACTGTGAACGGTCACTAAACAAGCTGTATAGTCCATATTTTTCTATCAATGGTCTGATTCCCGATTTCAACATACTATAAAACTTTTATATATTTTCTATAAGAGCTATGATAGTACAGTGGTTAGAATGCAGCACTGCAGGCTGACTCACTACAGTACTCACTTGCAGAAGTTTGATTCTGACTAGCTCAAGGTTGACTCAGTCTTCCATACTTCCGAGGTCAGTAAAATGAGGAGCCAGATTGTTGGTATCAATATACTGACTCTGTAAACTATGAAGTGGTATATCTAAGTGACTGCTATTAAAGGGACACAATCTACACAATCATTTCTATCAGATATGTAGATTAGGACTTTTGAAATTAATTATAAAGGATTAAAAAATAGTACTCGTATTCCTGTTTCCATAAGAAATTAAATCAACTGGGATACTGAAAGCAACACAAAAAAATTCCTGCTTAATTCAATCCAGCATAGTGCAAAACCAGATGCACGTTCACAAAAAGGACATAGATATAATAGCATCTTCCCATTGCCTCTGCTCTAAGGGAATAAGCTTGTTACTCTTTTCTGGTTCATTTATTTTACATTTCCATGTTTATCTTTTTAAAATTGAAATGAAATCTATATAGTATTTCATGTGTTATCACACTATACAATGTTTACCTAATGATTTTCAGTCACTTTATATGCATGTTTCAATCCTTCTCCAGTCATTTTGCCTTAGCAAGTTACATGAATTTTGTACTGCAACAACAGTAATAAACATGTGTATCCCAACATTTGGTTTAATGTTTTTACTAACTATATTCTTTGTGTATCTTATTTTAGGCTACAAAACCAAAAAGTATTTTTCGGTTATCTCCCTTGCAGCAAAGAAAGAAATTGGAAAATAAATCCTTAATCGGTGAGCTTTGCAATAGCTTCAAGGTGCTTTACAGTACTGAAAATAAAAAAAATTCTCTTTTTTCCTTTTTAAATTTTTTAGGAAATTGTCCTTATTTTTAGGATTTTCTTTCTTTCTTTCTTTTTAAATTAAAAGACAGTATCAGATGTCCTAAAAGATTTTCAAGTTCTTTGTGTACAAAACTCATGCTTTCTAATTGACTAGCCAAGAACTTTATTAATTTGGCTCATAAAAAAATGCTTGGAGTGATACTTGTTAGATACGCTACCTAAGTAAGATTTTTTTTAAAGCACTGACTGATCTCATGTTATGACAATTCTGGGCCATTTATTTAGAAAAGGAAATTCAAATGCAGTTGCATGATCTGGATCCAATAAGGAATGCAGGAGTTTATTTATTTTGTGCCCTATTTTCTTTTATCTTTGTAAATACAAAATCCTGGTACAGAAACTGCCATACACTCTGTTTCCCACTCTCCTATTTCAGTTTTCTTCAATTCATCTGTCTATACCAGAGGTCCCCAATCTTTTGGGCACCAGGGACCGGTTCCATGGACAAAGATTTTTCCACAGGCCAGAGTGCGTGGTTTTGTGTGGTGCCTGCATCCCACAGATGGGGCTTTGCTTGTTTGTGCGGACTGGTTGCTGGCATGTTGCGGCCTGGTACTGGTCCACGGACCGGACGTTGGGGACCCCTGGTCTATACCATCTGAATAGAAGGAAATGAACAGTCAGGCAAGAGCTGAAATAAAGTCGTACTAGCTGCTTTGCATTAAGAATGCTTTATAATTATTCTTCCTTGTGTTGAATTAATGTTTTGGTCCATCTAGTTTAATCTTTTCTTTACTGAAAGTAGTGAAAACATCCATGATCTCAACTAATCTTTCCTTAGAATTCTTATAATGGGAATGCCATAAATCTTCTGCATATTTTGTATTTATCAGTGGGACCTACATGCATTAATTTAGTACTACCAGAGAGAACAGTGCTTAAGTACGGTAGATTATATAATTGGATCAGAATGTCTGTGTGTCAGCACACATGCTCATGATGCATTTAATCAGTATCCATGTCCTGCCTTTTTACGTATATTCTGGAGACTAGCTGGTCACAGTTCCACAAATATTTTATTCTGCATTAATGTTTGATAACTGGCCTTTAAATTTTACTTTAAAACATAATATTGTTAGCTGCAGACAATTGCTATAGTGATAGGACTCAGAATAATTTAAAATGATTCTGCTTAGAGCTACATATTAATAAATCTGTACTTAACAACACACTTAAAAATTTTTCTGGACAGATTAATAGGATTAAATGTTTTAAAACCATTAACTACTACTTTATCTCATAGGAATATTTTCTAGTCCTCCATAAAGTTATTTGCTCTATTCTCCTTGTAGAATGATATGATTATATTTCACAGTTTGACATACTGTGCCATATTTGACCTAAGTTTAGATATATAAATCTACATTTTCATATCCTTTTGAGTCTGCAATTTATAAAATAGCTTTGGAGAAGTCACAGTTTAGCTGAATTTATTTCTGCAATTAAGAATAATTTTTAAATACGGTATCTTTGTGTTCTATGTATCATTAGATAGTTACACAATTAACTGGATCTAACTGGATGATGAGCCTTGGCATCAGTAACTTACGGCTTTATCACCTTTAGAGTAGAGTGCCATGATATGTTTTTTTTTTTTTTGATGAAACTCTTTTTGAAGACTACTTGGAAACTGCTATGGTTGTAAAGTGCATCATCTTGCATACTGGAGAGTAAAAGCCTGTACAACACACATATAATATCTGTACAGTATTATGGATGCTATATTGGCTGCTGATAGGTTCCTGGGTATAATTCAAATCACTACGTTGGAAGAGTTTTACTGTTGTGTTTTATAATGGTATTACAATATTATTTTATATTTTGTAGTTTTATCTATTATAAAGTAAAACAGGACTATACTTGATTACCATAGCATACAAGTGTAATAAATAACCAGCACTGCAGTGAATTAAGAAATAGGGTATACCATGAATTATTTCAATGAATCAAGTTATAGAGTGACATTGTAACAGATCATAGACATTTTAGAAAATATTAAGTGTCTTCATTAAATAATGTAAATAATTCAATGTTAAGTACTACTTTTTTGTACCTTCATTTTATTGGATCTAACAGGGTATGATACAATCCAGAGGAAGCAGTTGTCCCCTTTATCCCTGAGATCTCCAGAACTGTCCATTTCTGCTGCTTCACATTCAGAGCTCGGGATTATGCCTAAAAACCAATCGCTTCTTAATAATGGAACTGGCCAGAGTAGCTTTTTAGAAATGTATGAATCTGCAGATGAAAACTGTTCGTGGAATAATGTCACAATAGCAGATTTGTATCCAGGAATGGTAAAAAATCTTAGCAGACTGTTCGGTAAAGTATCCCAAAAATCTTTTTCAAATTCATTAACTGAGCGATACAAATACAGATATTGTCATTCTAAAAAAGCAAAATTTAATACCAACAAAGAGAAAACAAGAAAGTTCAGAGTACTAAATCTGACACCTCGTTTCATTGTTGAAAACAAGAAATTATCTAAAGGAAGTAATGGCGACAGAAGTCCTTTTTACAATTCAAAGCGTCAGATACAATGCTCAGAAAAAAGTATTTACAGAATAGAATCTGCTGGATCTCAGAACTCAGATAGAATGATAATAGACTGTTCTGGTATTGCAGAAGATTATTCATACAGTGAAAGTACTGGAAAACGTGTTACAGAGGAAACTTTTCCCCCTAGAACTCTTTGTGCAGATAAAACATTTTTGGTCAATAATACAACTTGTTTCCCTTTATCTTCAAACAATGTAAAAAAGAATCAAAGTTTTGAAGATTTTTCCCATACATTTTGCACTGCAGATTTAGATACAACATTTAATCCAAAAGCAGAAAGAGAAACTGGCGAACTGAGTACTATGGCATTCAAAACTACTTCAAGTTTAAGTTTGTCCTTGAACGGCAAAACAAATTCCATTTTACAAGGAAGCAAGTCTCCAGTGAAAACCTGTAACAGACTAAAAAATCATGAAATTAAAACTTTCACTGCCACTGTGTCACTACCACGAAGTCATTCTTTTTCATCATTTCATGTTAACCGAAGTCCAATTTCTTATAAACAGAAATATGAAGATGCATTTGAAAAATTATATAAGGAATTGTGTTCTCCAAAGCCACAGAAACCATTTAAGTGTTCAAATATATACGTGAGCCCTAGAAACTCTGCAGACATACACATTTCGGGTTTAGATAATCTGTCCTCAAATTTCCCTAAAAAAGCAAACAGTACGATTGAAGATCTGTACCAGAAATTATGTTCTGAAGGTTTTCCCAAATTTCCAACATTTCTAAGAGCAGCAAATTTAAAAAAATATGAAGGAGTACAGATATCTGAAACTGTAAATGCCCTTGTTAATTCTCCAATAAGAACTCTGCCTGCTGTTGCCAGAATTAAAAGAGCGGCACATTTTCGTAATGAAGATTCTCAGTATTCGCCTTTTAAAAGGTTAAAAAATAAATGTAGTAATTCTTACAAAATATATCAGAAATTTCCTTGCTGGAAAACCATTAGAAATGACGCAGCGTTCACATTGCATTCACCTGTTAAAAACAGTTTGGCATCAAATACGGTAAGTGAAATATAATCTTCTATAATGCCTTCAAACCTAAAAATTGTTTTAAAGTACCAAACCCTTTAAAAATGTTTATTTATAGGCAACATTTCTAAAATACATGAACTTACTTACAGGACAAAGTCCTATATGTACCTAGGTATAAACATCATTGAATTTAGCACAACTATTTTTAACTAATCTCTTAAACTAAGAGTCTTACTGGATGTTATGGCACTATGTAGTTCTCCTTATCTCTGTTCTTTTCTAATGTGTGAATTAGATTATGGAAGAATATTAATATTTGGATGCTAGAATTTTTTTTCTTTTAAATTTTTATATCCAAGTGACAGATTTAACATGTATGGCAGATGAAGGATAATGTTTGATCCAAATCATCTGCAAAAATAGCTTGATATTTAGAAACTATAAAGTAATGCAGAATGGAAAAAAAATGTGGTAGAAGCTTATTACTAAATTAAATTTTACTATGGGACATCAGCAATCCAGGTTGATGTAAATTAAAAATTTTAAACTTTTTAATTTTCAGAATTATGGAGGTTCTGTTTCTTCAGGCCATGGCTTTTTGGCCACTTCAGTTGCTGATATGGAAGGTTGGTTTAAAAGATTTAAGTGAAAACTATATAACAATGTATTGTTCTTTGATCAGGCTAGGCCAGGGGTGTCAAACTGCCCATTGCAGTTTCATCATTGCCCATCCCATTGCCAGCAAGGCAAAAAGAGTCACGATGCTTCGCGACACGTCATGTGACATGGCGAGTTTGACACCTGTGAGTTAGGCAATTAATTGTTTATCCCAAGAAACATTCAAATGTCAATATTAGATCAACTGTAGATTTTTAATCCTTTATGCTCTATAAAAAAAACAGTATAGGCAACAAACAATAAATAGGGTCAGCAGATGCTGTCAGAATAGCACAAATTCATAATTTTGGGTTTTAATGACATCCCAACATTATTTCTGGTTCTGTCTGAACTTATTTCCTAATATTCCTAATTTTTAATATACCCGTATATGCCGGTGTATAAGACAACTTCCGGAAAGCGCTAAACTTGGTGCCAAAGACGGGGGTCGTCTTATACGCCGAGTCATCTTATACGCCAGAAATACTGGTAGTTTCCGGCATAGAAGACGACGTTCTAGGAATGCGGCTCGGCGATAAAGACGGGGGTCATCTTATACGCCGGGTCGCCTAATACGCCGGCATATACGGTAATTGGGAATATTGTTTTCGTAATATTAGATCATTGGGTTGAAGTTTCTAAGTTTATTTTTAAACTTCTTTGTGTGTCCACTGATTGACAAATCCATCTGCATTTGCTTTTGTTTTTCCTACTTTCAGTAATATGAATATTAATGTATGAAATTTTTGACTTTTGAATTATCATATAGAGAAGGGTGTCAGAAGGTAATGCAACAATATGTGTATTACATACTGAATTTGGATAATTTGTTTAAAATATAATGGGAGTAATTTTTTTACTATTTTTCCCATTTCTGAACTGCACATCTCAAAGCACATTTGAAGTTAGTTTAACTTGGTTTATAAGAAATTTACAATAAGATTAATCATTATTCAACCTGCTAAAGAGACAGTATTTATACTTTTCATATCTTTGTTTTCGTTGTTTTTTTTAATAATTTACAACCAAAATATTTAAACAGACACTTTTTAATCCATATCTAATTTGTTCAAAGAGTCTGGGATTTCAGATATGAATGAAAATATTCCCAGGTATTTGCGGGATCGTGAGTTTTCAAGAAAGTCACAGAATTTTATACCAAAGTAAGCAATATTTTAATTTCTTTCCAGTGTTCCATTTATTTATCTATCAAATGTATATTGCTGTCCATACTACCTAAAGTGATAGCAATTCCTTTCTTATATTTCTTTGTGAATGGATAAAAAGGAGGTGACAAAATGTTCAGGTATCCTTATGAGCTACAATTAAGGCAAGATCAATAGCCTTTCTATTATCATGAATCATATCTAAAAAAAATTGGTCCAGGGAATCAAAGGCCCTTGTGAGCAGGAGAGATACCCATATAAAATTGGTAGATCAGAGTGTATTCCTTGTTTTTAAACTATGAAGAGTTTACTGTACTTGCATTATAGTTTTGTATCTACCTCACAGCATTGGAAAAGTGGAGTGGTTATAAGGGGTCCCAAAACTTCCAAAGGAGTTGCATATGGCTTTGATGCTAAAATTTGCTCATGGGTAATCTAAGACATGTTTTGTAGGATTATAAAACAGTTTCTTGCATTAGAACATACAATATAACAAAAGATCATTGGTGTCCTCTTCTACTGTACATTCCTTCCTACATAATACTCTAATAGCAGGCAGTTCAGGGAAGGGGAGAATTACCATGAATGATCACAGATAAATAAAAATAAGGTCCAGTCAAAGCAACATTATTTATCTCTGTGTGTTCCTCTACGTCACTGAATTTATTCACTGTGCACTGAGATGATTAATTATTCCTTTATCAATATGCTGAGATGATTAGTATTGCTATATTGCTTATGGAAAAATGATAAATTATGGGCATACCATAGTGAGAAGAGAAACAGGCATTAATAGCCAGAGATTATCCACTATTAGAGTTGGACATTAATTTCTTTTAGAATTCAAAAATAAAGGAAAGTGAATAGATGAAAGAGACTATATTTAAGCTTACTGTGAAACAGTCATTCTTGTGTAAAATAATAGAAATTATCTGAAACAATTTGTTTTCCCAAATGGTCAATCCATTTTCCCAGTTATAGTTTTCATCCCAATTGACTGACATTCATTCAGAAGAGGTTAGGCAAGAGTTTTTCACAGTTTATACAAAATGGAATCTTTTGCAGGTAACACATATGCTTTGCTATGGAGCTGTGCTCTTCCCCAGTATATTTTCAATGTGGGGAAAAACAAGATACGCATGGGAAAAGGCTAATACAGGGACTTATTTAACTTTAATCCAAATAAACTAATTCATAAAAAAGGAAAGAAAACAATGTTATGTTATCTTCGATTGAATTAGTTAGACCAGGTAACAACAGGTGGACTTGTCTAAAGATAATCAACATCAATTATATTAAGTTAATGTTGTGTTCAGTCAAATGCCCAGGGTTGTTGTTACTTTGTTTTTTAAAAATACCCTGCATATGTTGATGTACAAAACTTTTCATAACATATTTTTAATATTCACAGTAATATAAACATTTTCATATGAAAATGTTTAACTAAGAGTGATGGATACTAGCAGATATCATACGTTCTGCTGTTAGCGTTAAGAACTCATATTGGTTGATCATTACATTTCACTAACAGAAATCAATGATGAGTTTCTTGTATATCATGCATTATTGATATTACAAGTGACAGTTGCTAAAAACAAAGATTATTTTGCTATGTTGTATGCTAAGTTATACAAGTTAAAATTATTATCTTCTGAAATACAACATCAAGATCAGTGGCATAATATGCTTTGATGGGCGTTATGATACTTGTTATGTTAATGTCAATGTATGAATTTCTTTGAAATGCATCAGAGAATCATTAGTTTATTGTTTATGTATGGACATACGGAAGTTGGGGGGGGGTTCAGTTAAAAAAGATATGGTCAATATAACTGTGCTGCTTTTTTCTTGGTATTTGTATCAGTTTAATCAAGTTTTGTTTCTTTGCTAGAGTTTCCAGAAAGCTAAGCTATAATGATGGGAGAATCAGAAGCAGTGAATTCATACAGAAGGATTATGAGGAAACATTTCTGGAAGGATTTGGAGAGGAAAATGATATTTTTTAACAAAATATATTTTAATCCCAGTAATTTCTAAACAGAACACAAATTAAGTGGAATATTCCTGAATTAAGGTAGTAAAATATTTTCACCACTTCTTTAACTCTTTAACTCATCAGCTTTAGCACAGGGCAATAGACCTAAAAGACTGCAGTGAAAATGGAGAAATAACAACTACTAATATAGTTCAGCATTCATCTCTATGCAATTATTCTATGTCATTTGAAAGTTATGGAGATAATGGAAACTGTTTCTAAAATTCAACAGTTCATTAATTGGTTTTTGCCTTCTTGGTGATTTATTCAGCTTAAGTGACTATAAGAAACATCTTTTGTGGTACTTAATTTGTTTAATCTGCACCTCTAGAAAAAGGTTATTGGAAGTTGGGGCATAATCAAGATTTAAATGTGTTTTTATATAGTGCTTTTAACTTACTATTCAATAAGGTCATGCTTTAGGAAAAATCTTTATTTCATTGATAAAGAGTAAATATGAAAATATCCATTTTTGTATTTTTATTTTATTTTAAATGTACCTAATATTTGATATATATCTTTGTCTAATAAACATTTTAATATGTTTGTATTTTGACTGAGTTTGTTATAAGTTTGCTTTTGGAATCTGTAAGGTTGTTAATTTCACCTAGGATAAGTCTTTCCTTATTTTCATTTGCTTATCAATTTTCTAGGCTACCCAAAACTAAGCATGGAAGGCTTGATTTATAGAAAAAACTATAAATTAAAAATAAAATACAATAGATACTGTTATTTGGGGGTAACAGCAACTAAACTGTTCCCTACTGTTGGGTGTTCTCAGTCAGCAGAGATGACAAAGGCTCAATTCTATAAGGCTGTCTTGTGAAGGAAAGTCATTTCAATCTTATTTTTTTTGCTTTTTGAGAAAAAGTGGGAGAGGAGAAGAAGGAACCTGTGTTGTAGAGGGGACTAGTAGCACAGTGATAAGGCACTTGGTTCTTAAGTAGTCAAAGAGCATACTTTCAATTCGTGTTCACCATTCCTTCAGGATTCTTTCTGTCACCTCTAGTATTCACTGTTTGTGAGAGTGGAGATTCATTCTCCAAGCTTGTGGATTGGCTTCTGAGTGTTTTGTTACCAGACTAAGTAACATCTTCAGCGGAATTTAGAGAATGTCAGTGTTGGTCTTCTGCTACTGTAATACTACTGTAATATACTTTCCTGTTAGTTCTATATTCATCAATCAAAAAATGATAGTTAACTTACTGAACTATATAACTATGAAAGTTAACTGAAGTAACTTTCTAGTCATAAGAAATTGCCTTATTGTTCCATCCTATTTAGCACCAGAAGAGGATTAAGAGAGAAATCCAGGAGTCCGTGGGTTTAAATATGTTACTTTGCTAAATTATATTACTTATGTTTATTTATGTATTATGTATTATATGAATAAATAACTTGATTCCTGTTCAAAATGAATTTATTTATTGGTTTCCTAGACCACCTAACTCCAAAAAGACTGAACAGTTTACATAATTTAAAAGGGAGCAAGGTCACCAGAGAAATACCACATAAATAACACCCAAAATCAACAGTGTTTGCCAGGGCCTCCAAACACATCTCAATCCCAGTATGAAGAGATTTCTGTAGCATTTAAAGGATGGGAAGCATGCATCTTGAGGAAATTGCTTTTCTGAAGTACAGAGACCATGCTTCCTCAATCCTCCAAATTATAACATTTAATGAAAGATCCTTGGACCATGCCAACTGCCCAATCATACCACATAGGCAGAAATAGTTGAAGAATTCAGAATAAAACTGCTGGCTCACAATTTTATGACATAATCAAGCTCAGGTTATTCTCAACTTCTTAGATAAACATGATTTGCAGCATATATTTTTCTAGATGATCTTGCATATGCACATTAGCATTTGTGTAATTCTAAGAATTAGGCATAAGTTAAAATATATGAAATAATTATTAGAGGAAGCATTATATAATACATATTTTGGAACTAATTCTTTACTTTCATGTCAAATTAGATGAAATGTCATATTTAAATATTTACTTCCTGTAAAAATACCAACTATATCAATTTTTTCTTGAATTTGTTCACTAGGAACAAAATGCTATTGTTACTTAGTAATCAAAAAAGGTATAAGACAGATTTAAAGATCATCAATTGATTTCAAGACAATAAAATGCTTCATTCAAACTTCATTGCTATATTATGAGATTTCCAATGCATTCAGGTAGTTTTTATTACAAGACAATGTTTTGGACTGAATTGAACAGATACAGTATATCTGGGGGGTAATTAGGAATATCACTTCTTATAGAATACACTATAAAACTGGTGTAAAAGTCAATAACAATTACTTAAATACAATGAAAAATGTCAAATTCTTCCTTGGAGATTTATTTTTATACCTCATTTACTACTTTTTTTACAGACCATTTAATTCAGATGCTCAAGACATTACATTCTCATTGAGTAATTGGGATTGACTCTAGCAGTTCTTAACTAGCAGGAAACTAAATACATGCCGACATTACATTTGCTAGCTGTACAACTGTTAAATAGATGAATCAAAGCTGATACATTATTCCCTAATTAACCTTAAATATTTCCTGATATTATTATACATGCAGTATGGCAAGTTATAATTATACTGAGTAGAGCTGAATGAATAAGTTTTTGTCAGGAAGTTAGCAAATTTTTTGTTAATGGTTCTAATCTTCTAATGGAATATAACTGCTTTATAGCAAAGATTGTAATTTGGCTCCTACTCATATATGAACCAGGTGGAGGGTATATAACCAGTTCCCCACTGGCATGCTAAAGGGCTAAGCAAGTTTCTCCACTGCTCAGACAACTTCTTCCATGATCCAGACTACTCTAAGCACCATGTCAAATGGTGGGCAATATTTTAATTAAAAGTCTCAGAAAGTTCTATAAGTTGTTCCTCTACAGAACTCAGTGGCACAAAATATTTTGTTCAAACGATCACTTACCTAACTTGGCAATTGACTGTCTTAGTGAATGTTTACTTTGAGAAAATTATTTGGTTACTAAAACATGACATCGTTTGCCTTGTGTTTTAAACCAAACTCTCTGAACGAATCAACGTGAGAAGTGTTTTCAGTCAACTTATTTTCAGCACTGAGTTGTTCACTGTTGAGATAAATGCAAGACAGCGTGGTGGTGTTTCTGGTAAGTTGATTTTCACCCATTTCTAATGTAGGATATTTCTTTTTGGGCTGAATTTTGTGCTTTCTTCTGACACTATGATCAAGGGAAGCATAGCACATTTGGCGTTCAGCTATCTGCTACAAAAAAGAAACAATTCATATTGATCATGTTATTTCATTTACTATTATGGCAAACAGCTAACAGTAAAAGTAACAAGTCAGTTGTATGATACACCTAAATGAAATGATATAAATTTGTGTTTGGTAACTGCTTGGAAACAGGACTTTTTCCTTAGCCGGTTTCCTACCTTATTATCAATTCATCATTTTTACCTTGGAATATTGCCTTTTCTACCTCCACTGATCCATTCTTGAATCCATTGGAATAGGATCATAAAATGTAATATTGGTTTCTCTTTCTCAATTTGAATTGCTTATCTAAATACTTCTTGCTGATACATTTTTATTGCAATCTTTGGAATTTTAGTGAATTTCATTAAACCTGATAAGCTTTTAGGAATGACATTGAGCTTCCTGCAAATCAAGAACTCCACTATAGGACTCTTGATTTCCTGTTAAACCCAAAAGATTAAGATTTGTCATTATCCCCAGTCATCTTTGAGTCATATTATATAAGAAAAGTCTATTCATTACTAGGTCATTTCCCCTATTTTACTCTCTATTTGGATGAACTGGTTCAGTATCTTGATTTCACACAATTCTACTTCACTTGGTGGTGTCCTACTTTATCCCCACTCACACAAACCACTGGAGGGCTCTTATCTGGGTTAATAAACTGCCTTTGTAGCATCTTTGTAAATGAGTTATTGCAGCAGTGTTGCTCTGTTATGAGATAGCCAGATAAGTCAGAGATTATTCCATTAAGGTTCTGGTAATGTCAGTAATTCCTCAGCACAATTATCATTAACCAAATTTGCAAGGCAACCACATAGTTGCACACTTAATTTTTATTAGGTTAGAGTTATGGCAGAATATGAAGCAGAATTTGGCAGAGTGATTCTCCAATATCCTGAAAATGATCGTCTGCCTAGTAGACAGCTACTTATTTGTGTGAAATCACAGATTCTACCAGTATCTGTAACATTTGAATGCTAATCTATGATTCACACACTTATATTTTCCAACTTGGAGATTAATGTGTTGATCTTAAGAATTGAGCAGCAAATAGGAGCCATGTTCAAGCATATTTAGGCATATCTCCTATCAAATTCAGGAGGGTTCCAAATGAATCTTGTTAATGCACAATCCAATTCACAGACCCTTTGTTAATCGTAATTAACTAGGTTATCTTACACCAAATCGTATTATTACGTGGAATGTGTACTTGCAGCAGCACAGTGGGATAATTTTGCCAACTTAGACCTTTCTTAGAAAGAGATCTGAATCAAGAAACAGCAGTCCTGAACTGGATGGGGGAGGGAGAAGAGGTTCAGGCTAACTGTAATTTTGAATCTCTTGGGTATGCCTAGTAACCTAGAACTTGGGTCCTCAATCCCTGCCCCCAGCCCATTATTGGGCTGAGCTTCTTCGGAACTGGACCACACAAATGGGAGTGTATATGTGCACACTCAAAGCTTCTCTTGCACGAGTGGTGGCCCACCTTCCACTTGCAAGAAACTATCCCCCCCCCCGCCAAACCAGAAAGGTTGGGGACCGCTGGCCTAGAAAATTATACCTTTTGTTTGGCAAGGTTCTATGTATTAGGTGTAAGCAAATAAAGGATCGGACTCAATGAGATTTCACTGTCTCATCTCTGAGCTTGGGCTTAACATTACATCTATCTTGACCACTGTATTTACATGTTAATTTACCTGCAATATCTTGGAACTCTTGACTCCATAATTTTGTTATGGAGTAATAAGTCAAATTAAAATAATAAATGGGCATAAATAAATAAAGAAGATGTATATATATTCCAGGGCTGAAATTAAACATTAAATTGGCCATATCTGATAAAGAAGATTTATATATATTCCAGGGCTGAAATTAAACATTAAATTGGCCAAGATTTTGCAAGGGGAATCCTGTATTTTAGGGCAGCTAAGATCTAGATAGATCATTCAGCACCATAAAAAAAGGTTCTGAAAAAAAACCTGTTACAAATTAAAGAACATTTACATAAAGAAGCATGTACAAACCTGTACATCAGTGGTGGATCTGGGAGAATGGACATTCATTTTCTCATAGCAACTTTCATCTGAAAATAATTTTTGAAATAGGATGTTTTAAAATAGTTACTCTATATTATTATCAATCATAAAGTTCTGCACTAAGCTTGTTATTTTTCAATACCATGCAGCGTAGCAGCTATAACTATACTGTGCTGGTAAATACCTGACATATTTCACTTCCTCTAAATTAAGGAAGGGCTTTTGGAGGGCTCAGTATAGTACTCTGCATCCACTTTCTTGCTGGGTAGATATTTAAACTTAACTGAAGAAGCTTCTTGGATGAGAAGCGAAATGTTTTCAAGGAAAAAACAAAGGAAGTCCAATTGCCTTTTGGAAAAGCATCTTTGTAACAGCCATGACCTAAATGACTGAGAATCTCCATAGACGTAGAAATTTTAAAAAGTTATTTGAATGGACTTGTCCACAGAGTTCAAGAGAAATCAAAACCATAACTCAAGCATGATTATATGGTAATTAGAAGAATTTACTTATTCTAGTTCCTTGCAACAATATTCCAGATAAGCAAATCTTTAGTATACAAAAGTTTTTATCTTCTGATTGTCATAACAACATCACTAATATTGTGGCCAAATTTTCAATGGCAACAGTTAACACAAATAATTCAAATAATCAGCAATGATTACCATATATTTAATTGTTTTTATATTCATTTATATGGACTATTGATCACAATAAAAACAAATATAAAAAGTCTATACATTCCTATTAAAATGCCAGATATTTGAGATGTAAAAATATCAGACCAAAATAAATCACTTGGGGAATTTTTTGCATCTTTAATATAACATATAAGCTGTATGCTTCAATTAAAAACAAACGGAGATCTTTCTTTGAGGCAGGATAACAATAAAAAGCTTACAATAATGTGGTTACATAAGTGTACCCACCCTCATAAATAGTGATGTGGCTGTGTTCAGAATTAACTAATCACTTTCAAACAGATATTATAAAAGTCGATACACACTTGCCATTAAATAAAGTGACTCTGATCAAGCCCATATAAAGTTCAGCTATTCTAGTAGGATTTTTCTGATATTTACTAGTTACTTCTTTCAGCAAAAACCATGAT